TTAGTATATACAGTTTTGTAGAGCTCGACGAGCTCTATCGAACCATGTAAAAATATCCAAGAAAAAACATTTTACTCCATTTTTAAATCACTAACACCTTCCTTTTTCACCCCGAAAAATGTATAAAATTTCTGAAAGTTTCTTAAGTTCGATATTAAAAGGTTTACATAACCCTTACTATTTAGCATCAATAAATCCCATTTTTCACAGGCTTTTTTCATTTGGTATAAAATTCATCATATCACCTATTTGAAATTATAGCGTTACCCCCCTGGAATAATATTTTTTCCAACCGTGTATATTAAAATATAGTATTTAAACTATTCTTGTAACAAACATTTGCTTGCAACCAATAAGATTCGATGTAACAAGAGCAACGAGGGTGAAATGGAAAAGACTACTTTTGCTCATGGATTTGTATGATATATCTATACTGCTCTGAGACAATAGGTGAAAGTCAAAAGATCTTTGTCACATAGTTAGCGAAGAACGAGTTTTCCGAGAATAGCAAACTTTGTTTGATTCATTGAATTGTATACTTTATTTGTGGATTAGAATGCAGTTTATAAAAAATCAGCTATTATTAATGAAAAATTTAAACATTTTTAGGAATGTTTTAACAAAGTTTTTGGATGGATGTATAATATTAATATTTGATTTTTTTATCTAATAAATACTTGAAACAGAAATTTGAATTATATTTTGCTGAATGTATTTCAATACGTTACGGCTCCTTTGAGAAATCAAGAAAACAAGATGATAAGATTAATTTTAAATGAGACTACTAATTTAATCACTATCCGCTTTCATTTTTCATAGCAAAGAGATTTGCTTCATGGCTTATTAAAACAAAAATAAAAAACATCATGAAGTCAAGTAGATCGGATAATGCATGCAGTAGTTTTTATATCACTTGAGAATAACATTTTTAAGATAAAAATTTCCCTATAGTTTATAACATTTGAATGAGTACAATAGAATCTTATAGAAGTCAATAAGCTTTATGATTTTTCTTTATTTATAACATTTATTATAATCGTTTGTATATCTAAGACTTTTTGACGGAATAATATATTCTTAGATAGATCATTACGTCCACTTTTGTTTTTTCTTTGCAATATTAGACATATATCATATGGGTAATTAATCTACATTTTTCTTTCAAATTAAGGAGAACCATTCTATATTCTATATGGGTATTAAAAAAAAATGAGTTGTGACGTCGAAAACAAACATACCACGTTTGACAAGTTGACGAATTTTTTTTTCAATATCTTTGAGACGTTTTTCATATGCTTGTAATTCAATATCACTATTAAATTTTTGTCTTACACGTTTTTCACGTGCTGTTAAAATTCTAAAATAGAGATAGAAAATAAAAATGTTTCATTTTAATTCTATTAATGTTGCATCGTTGAATGATTTGTTTTTTTTTTTTTTTTTTTATGAGACTGTATTGTGATTCTTTTGCTATGGTTTGCTGAAAAAATATTCTCTCTTTCTTTTTTCTTTCTAATTTTCAGTAACGAAATTTTCCTCAAGGGAGAGCATTTTTTTTTCTAACACCCACTGCTATTCTCTTTCTTTCTCTCTCTCTCTCTGTGTCTCTCTTAAGAACTGTTTAAAACCAAGTGAATATATAACAATGAGCTCATTTCAAAAAATCTAAACATACAACTACTGGAAAGAACAATCTTCGACTATGGCTAGTTTAAATCGTCTTAATTTTATTTTACTTCTTGCTCTTAGCATGTCATTATGTCTGATAGTTCAAAGTGGTTCAATTCATCGTCCAAGTTTATATGACGAAGAACTTTCGGCAATGATCGACTCAAATGGCGTATCAAACAATGCCTATGACAATAGTAATCATAATGAAAGACAAGGAGTCAATTTAAATCCACTGTTATTATCACTTTTATATGATGATTATATACTTCAACAAGCGGCCAACGGTCATAGAGACATGAAACGATCAAAATTGAATAATCTTCATAGGAATCTTAATTTACCGCGATATTTACGTGATGTTAATGAATTGTATGCTTTAAAATCATAATAATATTTCAATAAAAAGAAAAGTATAAGATTAACAGACTATGACGTAATTTCACACCTATTGTACTATTATGTTTCAATGTGCGTATTCAGAATAAATCTAGTTTCTATGAATTGATCTGTACGGCATGTTTTTCTCATATTACTTTTGTTACTTTCTAAAATTACTGAAAAAAAAATTAGCTTTCGTTCACATTTCTTTCGATAGCTAAAAGATTTGAAAGACTTTAAATGATGCTGCTCTTTGGCTATCCATATGATTTTTCCCTTCAACAAAAGGAAGTTTGGTAAAAATGTTTCCGGAATATTTGTGAAGAGAATGATCTGGAACTTGTCAATATGAGATTCATCTCATAACTCTAGTCTTCTGACATACCATTGTCATAAATAATGTTTCACTATAATCTTATGATATATTTTGGTTTTTCATTTCATAAACAACATAAAAATTTCACCTTTTCATAAAGGTTAGTATAGATTTTACTCGAATCATTTAGATTTCAACTATAATAAATCATTTAAGAAAATAGAAAAGTGCGCAAATCATTATTTTGTTTTACTATATGAACGAAATTCTCAAGTAAATATTTCAAAGATACTTAGCTCGATTACTTTTGAAAGAAAATCGCACCATATCCGCTAAATGTTACACTACATACATTTGAGGACATTTTCATTCTACACAAGACAATAATCATATATGTCGAATAACATTGAATGTCTCGTAATATATATGATCACGCAAAGTAAATGACAATCAAGAATGCTCTCTAGAAAACGATTTTAATAATTATTAGTGTATTCAATTTAATTTTTCGAAGATTTTATTCTATATTTCTCATTTGTATGAATGTGGTTACATAATTTTCTCGAAATAATTATATCCCGTTGTTTCTCAATGTTTTATCATTGCGCAATTTCTTCTGTGAATCAAGGTGAAACGTGCTCGATACGATCAACAAGTAAACGACAATGATAATCTTCTTACGGATGGATTCTGAGTTTAATATTCTTTTAACGGTTTCTTTAACTGATGTGTCAGTTTACTAAATCAATGTCTTGCTTATCTTCGGCTTTGTGCATTAACTGTAGAGAAATTTTGTTTATTTAGAAATTATTTAATATGTACGATTGAATATATTTTTCATTTGAAAAAATTGAATTTTTTAAACTTCTTTCATTGAAAATAAAAACTAATATAGAATATGGTATTTTTAATTATTAAATATCTTAATGAACGACGTGTGGAGAATAAATTTAAGAATAACTTCTAAAGAGCAATGTGTTAGACGTAGCAAATAATAAATAATTCTTACGATTCTGATGAAGATGTTGGAGGACTTGAATTATGTGGAGTACGATGACGTGAATGCGTGTTTGTTATTGTTTGTTGTTGTGGAGGAGAAGGTGATCGTCGTTTTCGACTTGTTATTGTTGATGATGAAGATGATGATAATGACAATTGTTGAACAGGAGATCTTTAATATCAATAAAAATAGATAATTAAAATAAATAAAAATATTTTACTTTCGTGTTGATTGTTGTTGAGGTAATGTATTAACTGGAGAATTCTATAAGAATAAAATTAATAGAAAATAAAAATGAATTCAAAAAAGTAAATATGATTGATCACTTGTGAACGTGAATTTGTTTTTAATCGTTTTGTTGTATCAATATGTTCATCAATAGGATGTTGAGAATTTGTTTGTGTTAAATGTTGAAGCGGACGACCATTATCAGGAGACATTTGTGGTGGTAAAGGAGGTGACATTGATCGACGACGTTCATTTTGTAATGATGGCACATGAGGTTCTGGTGAAGGAATAGGTGTTGTTAATATTGAGGAATTTCTACTTGGTAAATCTAATGCAAAATTTGAAGTTATTATTGGTATTGATTTATGATTAATTGGTGTTGATAAATTTGATGTTGGTATATTATCATAATCATCAGAATACAACGGTAATGTTGTTGGTTTTCGTATAGTTTGCTGTTGATAATCATTTATTAATGGTTCTAAATAATATCGAATTAATAAATGTGACATCAATGAAATTGGTGACAGTTATTACAGTCCGTTACCGGTGTCTTATTTAGCTTTTTTTTTTTAACTCTTATTATCTCTTAAAGAATGTGTAATGAAAATTTTTTAGAGATTGACCCGTATGATCTACTCAGTTCGGTACTTGTCGTGAAAAAACCCAGATCGGTTCTATCTGTGTGGTGTGAAACGAAAAAAAAAACTTTTTTGATGAAATATGTTGTGTTTTTTTTTTCCTACTGAATTATAAAGAATCACATATACTGATTTTAATCATACTTTCATGATAACGTAGATGTGTTGAATCAATAGGAAAAGTTTCGTTCGTTAAACGTATATCAATGTTAATTGATGCTGCATCTCGATGATGAATTGGCTGAATATAATAAAATTTATATTTTTATGAAATATTTAAATAATATTTATATACTCGTTTATTAAATTTATCATGTAAATATTTTTGTTTTTCATTTAACCATGGTAATGATTTTCGTACTGTATAACCACGATATGCAGCTTGAATTTTAGCTGCAGCACGATCACGATATATACGTCGTTCTAATAATAAATCTCGATGATCATTTATATTAGTTAATGGTTGATTTTGATATTCATTTAAATGAACTGAATTAAAACGTTCAGATAAACGTGTTAATGTTGAAGGTTTTATTATTTCAGAATTATTTATTTCATGATGTGATGTTTGATAACGTAGATTTCCATCTTCATGTTGATATGATGGAGAAATAGTGTCAAATGGTTGTGTACCATCTAAATTATATTTATTAATTTAACATCTAATTTAAAATTCATTTTTTTCTATCGGTTGAAATTATCTTAAAATATATTTTTACATATTTCAACTACTAGTTAATTTGATTAGCATACGTAAACAACTTTGAATTATTTCTATCAATTATATGAATATTTCTCTTGAGACAATCATTCGAGAGTAATAAATAACTTTTAAGGTGTGACCTTTTCATTACATAGAGTCTATTCAGGATAAATAATGCCTATATAATTATTTCGTCTTTCTTATTATATTCTTCTCATGTTATGATAATTTTAACAAGTTTTTAACCTTGTATAAATTAGATCATAAAAAATTCATTGCGGTCATATTGACTTAACACTTTACTCATAAACATGGCTTATAAATTCTTATCACACATACCAAACATTTCAGCTAGAATAAATATTTTCATTTCTGTAATAATAGATTTATAATTTTCGAAGTTTTCCTAAAATATGAATATTGATATCTAAGGAAGAAAATGTTCGATGCATGTTATAGAAATTATAAAACCTCTTGATAACCTGATACATGGCCCGAGCATCTACTAAACTTAAAGAATGGAGAATATGTATATATCCTGTATAATAATTCAGGAGTTTCCGTTATATCACCATTTATTGCCTTAAACATTCTCAATTTCAGAATTTTTGATCATGGGATTTATCTATTAAAAGAGACAGAAAAGAATGTCATTTCTTGATTAATATTATAATCCTTTGCTCTCAAATTCAGATTGAAATTTTGACATTCTTTTGCTCTGGTATCTTTTTATGTGATAAAAATTATTTATTACGAATTATGAATATCGTCACTTAAAAGCTAAACCCTACAACCATTAATTCCATTTTACAAGATAATCGCTATTAAACAAATAGAAGTAATGACTCATTTTATGCATACGTAATTCTTGTCACTATTGCGTATTTATTATATTTTGCGTGTTTAAATATTCACTTACACATAACACTTATCGTTTGTCAATAGCAATTTGATTAATTGATTTTATTTGGGTAGTAGTTATAAAAGATAATGATTATTGATGTACAAAAGAAATATTTACTAGCAATGGTGCTACGTAGAACTCATCGGATCTAAAAATTTTGCATCCGGACCAATACGATGGACTGTAGTATTGATGAGAGAAGGCCATCACCTTTTCAATCTCTTTCAAGTTGAGAATATGTTCCTTACGTACGTTCAGATGAACTATGAAAACTCTAAGACTTCATGTCCTTCAGCTCATTGTTACAGACATACTTCACTTTTACGGTTTTGTCTAAATAAATGCTATAGTAAGAGAAAAAATTGATCTTCCAATGTCGACTTGAAATTTTGCATAGAAACAGATCTTACCAGAAACAAAATTATCCTAAAATATAGCTATAGTAATAACGTGTCATTTACATCACTCATATAAACCATCAGATTTGAAAGTCTGGTTTCAGAATAGAAGCAAATCGAAAGAAATCTCGTCTGTCTCTATGCAAAGTTTAAAGTCGAAATTCGAAAATCATTTTTTTCTGTTACCATAACATTCGTTTAAAACATACCGTAAAAATTTAGTATATCTGTAACAGTCAGCCAAGGGTACAAACTCTTTTCAGGGTATTCATAGTTCAGTTGAACTTATATAATGCATATACTCTCAATTTAGTAGTGATTAAACAGTTGGAAGACTTTCCTCGTTAGTTATTATTAGAGGGCTTGATAGACAATAACAATGTAACTAGTTTTCTATATAAATACGTTATCATCAATGTCAAACACATATTTTCTTTCAACTTTTACATTAATTCAATTCGATGATCTGATAATGATTATACTACTATTCAACTATAGTTGTAAAATCATTAAAATTTGTTTCAGAAAAAAATAAATGCGAAAATCTCGAATTTAAATCCGAGTGTTATGTGTACTTCAAAAAGTGAAGAGGTATATTCACTTTGTTTTTTATCAACTGAGACATAACTAGGCAATTTGCTTTTTGCATGCAGCTTTTCTGCATTTTGAGACCTTTTTCAGGGGATGTTTTGTTAGAAAACTACGATTTGGTTCAAANCGAAATATCGTCATTCGATTTGTTGGTAAATACCATGCCATAGGCTAAAATTCCAGTAAAATCCCTATAACTCTGGACAGAAGGCCTAAGGGCCGTTATCCTTTTGGGGTTTTTCATATCTCAGTGGGATCTACCTTATGTACAGGGCCCGAACTCAAAAGCGATTGGACAGTTGGGGACCTTCCCTCGTAAGTCGGCTGCTGCACGTTTTACAATCAGTCAATAGAAAAAACCGGATTTTTGCTGAACACAAAAAAGTTTGTCCCGTAGGACTCTATGAACAGGATATCTAATGCTTTGCAACGTATACAGTGACATTTTCTCTTATTTAGTGAATTGACTTAACGAATCTTATTGATTACTCATGAGCAATATTTCTCATTCTCTGTAATGCTTGAGACAAAACAATTCTACCTATAATTAATACATCATTTATGTTATCAAAAAAGAAAAACTATTTTTATATGCTTGAATCAGATTAAAATATAATTTGTTTGTTCAGTTAGTTTAGATTTCTGTTTGACATGTGAAACAGGAGGTCATGGCAGATGCATAAAAAATGGCACAGTATGTCAATGTATTGATGGATACAGTGGAGAAATATGTTCAGGTATTGTTTTTTTTATTCAACTAGATGAAATAATAAAGCATTTTGTTTTATCAATAATAGATTCAGCGGAAGTGACAGTATTTTACACTACGACGGAACCAAAAAGAGATATACCTATGACTAATGTTAGGGCTGCTGTACTTGGTGCTGTCGGTGGTTTTCTATTTATTCTTCTTATTGGTTTAGTAATATTCTTTTTCTTGAGAAAAAGAAATAAACAAAAGGAATTATTGACACTTTCGTCATCAACATCATCAACTTCACGTGATACAATACCTGCCTTATACAATATACCACTATCTCGACGGAATTCTTCGACTTCAACAATGACCTATCATATATATGAAGATTTGCCTTGAAAAACGAATATTATTGGTGATCGAATAATAATTTGAAGAAATGTTCGTTTATTTTTCAGCCTTGTAAAAGAACTGTATAGAAATTTGAAAACATTTCGTTGGAATCAGAATTTTCTATTGTTTCCGAATATAGATTTAAAATTTTTTGTTTTTTGAACTCTAATTTAAGAATTATAAGACGATCTTTTAAAGGTTCATAAATTAAATCTGAACGAATTTTAAATACAGTAAATAAAATTCTTAATTCTTATATCACTTTACAGTAGAGAACAATTTCATCTTTTATTCTATGCAAAAAATGTAAATTTTCTCTGTTCAAACCTAATTTTTCCACCTGTAAAAAGTCGACTCATAACTCCTAAATCAGAATATTGAACCATAAAAAATTCTGATTCTAACCCAATGTTTTCAGGTTTTTACAGGTTCTTGTAAGAGACTGAAAAATGAATGAATATTTTTGTCGAAATACTTTTTAATTACTTGTTATTATTTTTTTTTTCATTAATAATCAGATTTCTTCTCAAACAATGTATAAAATTATTTTAAAGTTGATTTTAAAAAATGAATACAGTAATATGGAAATAATCATAAAAAACGTTTCATGCAATCGTTCCTTTTTTTTTACATCAAAGTGAATTCTAACAGAAATCATTAAAATTTTATTGAGTTATTGCTATATAATCAAAAAAAGCTGACATTGTGATACATATCTAAACTAAAAAAATCGAGATTTAAAAATTTGACTCCATCATCTACTATACATCCAGATTTTCTCTTCCAGAAGAACGATTTTTAACTTTCAAAGGGTAAACCCAATATTTGTTAGAGGTCGTCTCCTCGGCCTTCAACTCATTAGAGAAACTTTGCCGGATAAACAAAATAAAACACAGTTGAAAGGACCGCTTCTAAGAATCGTGGTTTTTAGTATTTCTGTCCATATTACTAGTTAATTTCAGTACGAATAATATTTTGTTTCTACGCAGTTAGAAAAAAAATCATGAAAAATAGTTCATAGGAAAGAATGTTCAAGTACGGCAATTAAAAGTATTTTACTTGTACTTTATAAAATGTATTTGTACTTTTACTTATGTTCACAGTACTTGTCCTTGCACTTAAGTAAAAATCGAAGTAATTTCTTGAGATTTTTTGCTTGATGTATAAGTATGACATATTTCGTTTATAATATTCACTACTTTTGATAAAGTTCTCAAGGCCATTGTGACATAATTTAATTGCCAACTAAATAGAAATAAAAATTTGTAAATTGAATTTTTTTTTTTTCATATGCTGATAAAATTATTGTAGGACGGAAACTTACTTATCATTCTAGCATAATAAAAAGCCGTGAAATTTTGAAAGAAACAGAAAGACGCTTCAAAAAAACAAAAAAGCTATAGTTTAGTATTGAAGTTTGTATAGAAAGAGTTCATAATCGAAAGAAGATACTACATGTGAAATATTAATCTGAGAAGTAGAGTCCATCAAGTCCAAAATTTTCAGACCTGAAGCTGACAAACTCTACCAACAAGACTCATAAAACGATTACTTTATCTTGAATTATATTATCAAAAAAACTTCGATTATATCAGCTGCTAATCTAAGTATTTATTCAATAGTCTCAAAAATCCTGACGTTTCTACTTCTGAACTTTAATAAAAACAACTCTTGAATAAAATTATCATAAGAAACAAATTGATTTTAATTATTTATTAATTTCTTCGCAAAAACACACAAGAAAAAAACAAACCGACATAACATCAATATAAATACACAATGACAAATGAATTTTTCTTTTTAGTCTAAACACATATTTATTGAAAAATTAAATTTTTCAATATTTAATCCAAGAAGAAAAAAAAGCTAAATTTTCATTTTTCCTGTACAAAAATTTATTATATCGAAAACAACAAACAAACAACAAAAACATTTATAACAAGAACAAAAAAAAAAAAGAAGAGTAAATATTCTACATTATCATAAACATCAAACACATCGGTACAAATCCAAAACAAAAAAGAGAACACCATATGAATGATTATTCATTTTTTGTATATATATATATATGTATGCATAATAAAGAGATTATGGCTAAAAATCGCCATTAACACTGTCATCATCGGAATCGATCATAACTTTTCGTCGTCTACTTGATCCACTACCTTTTTTCTTTCCTTTAGATGTTGAGAATGATGCTGGTAATAATTCCGATATCGATTGTATTGTATCTTCAATATCCGTATCAAATGCAAGTAAATAACGTTTAAAATCAGCAAATTCTTTTATTAATTGTTTACGTTTTTGTATTGTATCATATGTATTTATTGGTTTAATTGTATCAAGAATTATTTTCGGTTCAAATTTAACATTTATTTTTCTTGTAAGAATTGGTCGATCTGTTATTTTACTTGATTCAGTATGATCATATTCAATTATTTTCGTATCATTTAAATAATAAACATCTTTAAGATAAGATTTTAATAATAATAATAACATTGTTGGTTTTGTTAAACGTAAACATTGATTTAATTCATTAATAATTGTTTCTGATACATCATTTAATTTATTTTCTAATTTATTCATATCAATACCTTCATCATCATCAACATAATCTAAATGTTGTTTTAATAAATCACGAAATTGTTGTAATTGTGTTGAACCAATAACACTTATTGATAGATCAATTTGTTCAACAATAAATAATGGTTCATCTTGTACTTGATATGGAAAATAAGCAAGATTATCAGCAACAAATAATTGTTCTTCAAGTGTTAATGATGATGATATATTTGAAGAATCATTATCAAACATTTTTAATAATTGTGTTATTAAACCACGACGATAAACACGAGATGAACGAATTAATGAATAAAGAAAATGATTTACCGAACAATATGGTAATTGTTGATTAGTCATTGAAGTTACAGCAACTTTTGTCATACCTATAAATAAAAAAGATGATTAGTACAATTCTTGTAGGATTAATATCTGATAAACGTCCAATAGAGTCAGTGGCGTAGCCAGGATTTTAGCTTCAGAGCATGGGATCCAGATGAAACTTATGGAGGGTGATATTGGACCCAAATGATGAGTTTTTATGAAAATTTTTTTGCGACCAGAGCTTGCGAAAAAAAATCTTTTTTTTTCTTAGCCCCCCCCCCTAAAATTTTTTTTGCTTTTGGTAGTATTCCATTTTTTAGAGTTTAGTCGTAATCTACATCAAATTTCATCGACAGATTTAAAATTTCATCTCAAAATATGCATCCGTTCAAAACTTATAACGTTTTGAATTTTTATGAAAATTTTTGCCACATTTTCTAAAAATTCAAAACGTTATAACTTTTGAACAGATGCATATTTTGAGATGAAATTTTAAATCTGCCGATGAAATTCGATGTAGATTACGACTAAATTCTAAAAAATGGAATACTACCAAAAGCAAAAAAAATTTTAGGGAGGGCTAAGAAAAAAAAAGATTTTTTCGCAAGCTCCGATCGCAAAAAATTTTTCATAAAAACTCATCATTTGAGTCCAATATAACCCTCCATAAGTTTCATCTGGATCCCATACTCTGAAGCTGAAATCCAGCATGTACAAAAATCCTGGCTACGGCACTGAATAGAGTGCATCTGGAGAAATGTTAGAAAGTTCATTGCAATTTTTTAATAGAGATTTAATCCTGCTATCAATGTGTGTCATAAGCATATCAGTTTAAGTTTATTCTATCTAGCAATAAAGTCTCAAGATTTGAGTATCAAAAAAAAATACAATAGAGTATTTNGTTTAACGTTTTTCCTTAACTTTCTACACAAATAAGTTTGATTATGATTTTACAGAGAATTTCACGGCGCATCTTTTGAAAAAACAATTAGCTCTAAAGAACAAAAAGAAAAAAAGTTATAGTCAAAATACTGAGAGGGCCATTTAATCTGACTCACCCATTACTTCGAAATTCTTGCTTTCTTCTCCTTAGAATTAAGCCATCAGAGATGGCGAGTACACAACATCTCTAATGATGGTTATTTATTATTTTTTCAATGAACATATGTCAAGTTTCTTGTCTTCGATATGGATCAATTTTTCAAGACTTGGTCCGATCTGAGATTGAACTCTGACCTTTAATTTATATAAAATCAGACATGGTTATGAAAGTCAGGACTTTAATAAGGCTATAGGCAAGCACGTTTATAGAAGTTTTTTTTTTTTATAAAAGAGATATTAATTGTTTTTGTTTTCACGGGGAAACGTTATAAATAAAAGTACATCTTCGCCTACAAACACTGTTCCACTAAATTCTCTTCGAGGTTATCAGCTTTTTTTTAGAAGAATCAATCTCTTGGAGCATTTCCAAAAAAAGAAAACGATTTACTCTTGTAGAAATATATTTTAATAATGTATAAAGTTTAATTGATTTCAATATTTAAGATTAGTTTTTTTTTTTTTCGCAAATCGAACACCATATAAACAAAATGATTTACCTCGAATAATATCTGATTGTGGATCTACTTGTTGATTATTATTATATTGTATTAAAAGTAATTTTTGTAATTGATAACTCATTTTAAATCCTTGCATAACTTTTGTTTGTATAATACCAGGATTTGTTTTATCTAAATCTTGTAAATTTTGTTCAGCACTTTGTTGAATATTAATATCACGATCAGTTGTCATTGCAATAAGAAATGGAATAAATTGAACTGGATGTACAAGACCTTGTTCTAATATACATGATACTACTTTACGTACACATTGACGAATTATTTCATCTTCACTTAAATATGTATCTAATACAATACGTAAATAACATTGTGCTATTGAACTAGCCATTTCAGAATGTATATCAGTTGTATCTTTAAGATTAGCACCAGTTATTTGATGAGCATCATTACTATTTTCATCCTCATTTGTATTTGTTGTTGATGGTAAATGAAGATAATCAATATCTTGTTCAGCCATACGACGTATACAATCACGAAAATATTCTTCTAAATTAATTAATACTTGACAACGTAATTGAGCAGCTAATGGACGACGATCAAGTAAATATGTATGATATAATTGACGAATAGTATCTTCAATTAAATATTGACCATAACGTTGAAGAAAATAACCAAGACCAACAAGAGATTTTAATTTAACAACAGAATCAGGTCGTTCAATAAAAAACATAAATAATTGAAATATATCTTCAACTGAAAACTAAATCGAAAAAAAAAAACATACATATTTTAATAAGATTAACAATCACGAATAATTTTTTGAACCTTACTGCGACACACCAAAAAAACTTAATCTATGCATTTCTAATGTAAAATACTATTTAGTAGAGAACTGCGGGTTCGGATCTATATCTAAGTTTAACTTCAGACTTGGTTTGTATTAAGTTACGAATCTAAATATATAAGAGTTGAAGTCAACGAATATTGATTTCTTTCTTATTTTTCAAGATTTCTTGTTTCCTTTTATTTCTATAATTAAAAAAAGTCATTTCAAATGCCAAAAATAAAATCAAGTTGAAAAAAAAGAAATAATCAACACGTCAATAACATCTATTCGTTACTCTTACATATTAGTACGTTTTCATACACAACAAAAATAACCTTTCGTTATTATTCTTGTTTGTCAATGAGGTCATCATCAAAAGTTCGAGCTTTTTTTGCTAACATAGTGTACTTTTCAATAATCGAAAAGTTTCAATTTAACAACCATTTAGTAGTGAGAAAATGAACAAGTAATTGTACATTGACTTTTTTTAAAGGAGCCAATAAAGAGCTAAAACCTTGTACCTTTATCTGTTTATATACACAGAGGGTGACATATATTGGTGAAAAAAAGATCGGGTTGGGTCCAAAAAAAACATGGACCCGCAGTTCTATTGTTTTGGTATTTATCATTGTCACTCTCAGAGTATCGAGATTGAGGGGTCGCTGACAAACATGAGGTTTGTTTCTTAGAGGACCAGGATTCTTGATTAAGGTCTCCCCTACGAATGTCTGACTTTCTGCCAATTTTTTCATCTAAAAATAATTTCTTACTTGAAGATCGTCATATTCACTTCTTTCTATATCAAAATATTTGCAGAGAACACCTAATATATAAATCGATCTAGCCAATTGTGCACTTCCTTTAAATTCGTCATTTGGATTTTCAATTATTTTTAGTTGACATTGAATAATAAATGCTAAACAAAAAAAAATTAATTTTGGAACCAAACAAAAAAAAACAAATAGTTGTTTTTTTAAGCTTACAATGATATCTTAAAAATACTTCTTTAACAAGTGCAACATTTTTTGAAAGACGAACGGCAGCTGCTAGACAAGCTATACTTGAATGTATAACTAATTGACCACTAACAAGTAATAATTTTGTTAAACTGCCTTCTAATGAATAAATTATACTTGATGATGCTGATTTCATTAATGGTACAGTAAATTCAAGAATTTTAGCAACATATTGTACAATAACATTATCATTATATGATGTACATTTTATATTTAAATATTCAACTATAGTTGATACATGTGATAAAACATGTTCAGGGTTAGCTTTACCTAATGCATAGAGTGCAACAAATGTTGCAACCATTTTATTTGATGAAACCTTTTAGAAAAAAAAAAAAGAAAAGTTTATTTTAATAGAAAACAAAACGCACGTATTCCGATAAAGTCGTTGTTTTTTGCACATGATTTTTTCATTCTTTTTCAAATCGGGAATATATCAGAGGATTACTAAGAATGTTTTCTTTGACTTACGAGGGAAGATTTCCAACTGTCCAATCGCTTTTGAGTTCGGACTCTGTGCATAAGGTAGACCCCAGTGAGGTATGAAAAACCCCAAAGGGATAACGGCCCCTAGGCCTTCTGTCCAGAGTTATAGGGATTTTACTGGAATTTTAGCCTATGACATGGTATTTACCAACAAATCGAATGACGATATTTTTGGTTGATATTTTTTGCCCATAGATAGGTCTAGTTGTCAGTAGAATCCCCTGAAAATTTCAGCTCAAAAGAATGTTTTCTTCTCGAGATATTACAGTCCAAAAAAAAACAGAAAATTTTAGCATCTTTCGTAGGATATGGGTGATTTTTGGGACTTTAATATCTCGGAAAGAAAACATTCTGTTGAGCTGAGCTTTTCAGGGCATTCTACTCACAACTAGACCTGTCTAGGGACAAAATCTCAACCCGAAATATCGTCATTCGATTTGTTGGTAAATATCATGCCATGGGCTGAAATTCCAGTAAAATCCTTGTAACTCTGGACAGAAGGTCTAAGAGCCGTTATTATTTTGGGGTGTTTTATACCTCACTGGGTTTTATCTTATGCACAGGATCCGAACTCAAAAGCGATTGGACAGTTGGGAACCTTCCCTCGTTAGTTTTGTTTTATCTCAATATCACCTTTGTTTGTATCTCTGTAGTCTCACAGAAATATTCAATAAAACTTTCTTTCTTCTTCAAATTGTGCTAAATACAGTTTTTCATGCTGATCGTGAATATCATGTTTGATATAAAAGACATTGAAGTTTAATGCGGAACAATGCATATTATTGAACAATTGATCATATAGCTGTTTGTTGCTGTACAATTACTTTTTCATATAAAAAGGATGCTATTCATTTGAAGTCAACTTCAAATTAGTTTGGTATGAAAAAACTATGTGCATAGTTCGAGATAGTCTCTTATCATCTACGGGAATATCAATTCAACTGTGTGCAGTATATCTACATATGGTCTTTGGAAGTCTGATGTACAGATTTACTTTTGCTGGTTTGAATTAATATTTGTATACAGTAAGAAAAACTCAGTCAACTCGTACACATGCCTTTTAACACCAAACTATTTTCCAGTATAAAGTCTAACTACCAATCTCTAAGAATATTTTCAGATTTTTTCCATATAATAACGTATGAAGTTTTTCTGAAAGTGAGTGAACTTTTAGTGAATCGAACAAATGTTTTTGTTCAAATGAATATATTTCCAAGGATAAAATCCTAGGCACTTTTTGACATCAAAACACAAATATTTTACGACAGTGATCAAAAAGATCATATTAAAGTAGAGCGAAAATAAGTCCTATAAAGTACTTCCAACAACTTCCTCAAACATCCCTGACCGAAAGAAAAGAAATATCGGGACGAAAAAAAAACGACCTTATCGGAACATGTTCATTCGTAAACTAACTTGATCATTTGCAGATTCAATTTTAAGTATAGATTCAACTAATTCATTAATAATATCGTGTATAGCTTTTAAAACATCTTTTCGTTGTTCACGAATTCTTGCTTTATCATCATTTGATTGTTTATCATTTGTTTGAAGAAATTCTTTAACTAAATTTTCTAACCATGTATTATTTTGTTTTTGTGCATCAATTAATACATCAATTATTGTTTGAACACGTTGTCGAATTTCATAATGATTACGTGTTGGTGTAAACCATAGCTGTTGAAATGTTTCAAGTACAAGTTTACGTATAGATTCTTCATCATTTATACGTCGCAATAAACGAGAACATATATCAGGTATACGAACAAAATCTGGTTGTGATAAACAAACATCACGAAAGATTTTTACCACACGTTTACGAACACTAACACCTGAAAAGAAAAGTTTTTTTTTATTATATAAAAACTTCTATAGAATCATAAAAGACATTGTTATGATTTTTTTTAAAATAACTTATGGATAAGGAAAAAGAATGTATAAAACTTTATGCTTTAAATATATTAACTGATATTCTTATAACGAACGATATCCAAAATAGGCCTAGTTTATGTAATTTGGACTCGATTCCAGATAGAAAATTCTTTTTGCGTCTTAATTCAAATTATGTGTGAATATGACATGAAGGAAATAATTTTTCTTTCTATCTCTCAGTTTCCTATGAAATGACAGTATACCGTACTGATTTTCAGTCGTCTGAACAACTACAATTATGGTTCGAAGTAGTTGGAAATAAGAGATATGTTCTTCTTTATTGTATATTGCGCATTTGATACATCAAGTTTATGTGATAGAAATTTCTATTGTTTGAATTTCATATTACAATTTAACAGGTAGTATGTTAGCTATGGATGATTATTTCATATCAATAAAGAAAAACAGTGAAGTAGAACAAAACATTATCTGATACATTCCTTCTTGTTCTATAAAACTTAATAATGTATTTTGATAGAAATGTTAAATGAGTGACTCTTATGCCGTAAGCAGATCAACAATAACTCACTAACGATGCATGAAATATTTGTCACAATATTGTCATTTACATCTGTACGCGTGTATTCGATAGCACTTCAAATCCATTCCATTGTTCAGTTTTTTTTCTAGCGTATCACATATTGTCCGACGATTAGAGAGCTGCGGATCCTTCCAGATCCGGACCCGGACCCGGGTCCGGGTCTGAAAATTTAGGTTTTCCTGGGTCCGGGTCTATACCAAAGAGAAAATTCAGACCCGGTCTGCATTAAGTTACGAATAAAAATATATATATCAATAACAATGGAAGTCAACAAAATTGAAAGAGAAACAGTCAGAAATAATTCTACACTCATTTTATCTTTAAAATGGCCAATGAAGAGCTAAAATTGTGTTCCCTTTTCTGTTCATGTACACAGAGGGTGCCAAATATTAGTGAAAAAAGGATTGGGTCTGGACCCGACCGGGTCCGGGTCTGAGAATTTAGCTTTTCCNCTCGCCCCCCCCCCAGGGTTTTTTCGCCAGGGGGGGGGGGGGGGGGGCCGGGCCCCCTCGCCCCCCCCCCCCCCTGCGTACGCCACTGCATGTTAAAGACTATAAAATCTTGAATAAAAATGGGAAATCATTTTTTATGATGTTTATATGAGTTGTAGAGGACGGAACGAGAGTTCATATCATTTAGAATTTTATATTCTTTAACATAAATTATCTGTTGGTTCCTACTAAATATATTTTCAAGTTTAATTAAACTTACATCGCCATTTCGTGATTAATGCATCGAGATCCATTAATAATGATAAAACTTGATAAGGACCCTAAATAAAAATGAACACTAGATATTTAAACTTTAGAAGAATAGTAACAAACTTGAAAACGTGGTTGTTCTCGATAAAGCATAATCATAAGAGCACCTTGTAAAGCTTTATGACTCATACGTCGTTCTGATCTAGCAAGTAATTGTTGATGAAATTTTTCATCAATAAATGAACGAAATGTATCAGCGGTTTTTTTGACATCGTCTAATGCTGCTTCACGTGCTGTTGGGTTTGGTTCATCCTTAACAAACGAAAAAAAAAAACTTAATGATTAAATTAAAATCTTCTTTAAACCTCAGCATTCGATTGAAGATAATCAATATATTGAACAACTGAACGTTTGTAACGTTCCCAAAAATTAAAACTTGTATCTTCAAGACCAGGTGTTCGTTCAAGCCATCGCTAAAAAAAGATACGTTTTTTTTTTTTTTTTCTTTAAAAAGAAAATAAAAAAAATGATTACTTCAATAACCATAAGTAATGTTGCTTCTTCTAATGAATTAGTTAATTCTTTTTGTTCATGTGCACTTGGAAATGCATTTTTATATGATGATTGATTATATAAAACACGTGATTTTTCTGTTAAACCTAATTTATTTTCAATTAAACGAAATTGTAAACTTTGAAAACCACTAGCTGGTGATAAATATGAACGAAATTCCATAAAATCTAATGGTGTCATAGTTTCTAATATTATTATTTGATCACATAATAAACGCCATATTTGAACACAACGTTGAAGACGATTTATTGATACAAACATATAACTTTCATCAATAGAATCATCACCAAATATATCACGAAGAGAATCAATTTCCCAAATAATTTGTTTAAACCAAAGTTCAAATGCTTTAAAATTATAAAAAAAACAAAGAATAATTTTATATTTTTAGTTCTTTTGTCATACTTTGATGAATTATCATAAATAAATGTTCATCATGAACAGGATTTTTATTTTGATCATTTTGTGCACTTAATAAAACTTGTGAATTAAGTAAAAGATTTAATTGTAAATAATTTCCATATGTAACTAATTCATCACTTGATGGTAAACGTTTAAGTTCAGGTTTAGCTGAACTTGATGTACCATAACCCGTTAATGATAGAATTTCTGCAAGTGCATCATTATTAACAGACCCATTTATTGTTAATTTAGATGTTGCTGTTGTTGGTGGTGATGTTGTTTCATCTTCAGGTTCGACAAATCTTGCATATGGACAAGTCATTATATTTAAAGAAAACTATATGTTTCTCTTTATTCTTAAAAAAAAGAAAAAGAAATGAAATTATTAATTAATGTGTATTGATTTTTTATATTATGCATTGATTTCTTAGAATGTGACCGAACTATAAAGATGTGCGACATATGACTCAAAAGTATTCATTTCCTTTTTTTTTTTCTTTCTTTTTTGAAAGACCATCTGTTACTATCTTAAGTCCTGGTGATTATAATTATTTCATTAGTAACACAGATGAAACGTAAAAGATGACGCAATATCAATAGATGAATAGAAATGACCTTGAAAATATGTGAAGAGTGATATCAAACCTACATATTCTTAAATACATAGTCAATATACACAAAGAAGAAAAATTTGTCTTCCTTACATTGCAGCTATATTTATATATTGAAACTTTTCTTCTTTTTTTTTTTTTTTCTTTTAGTCTAATACGAACGCTTCACTAGAACTATATAAATATTTGTTTAATGCATATGCATCTGTGATTACAATGATTCATGCATGTTATTACAAGATTTAGCGTTGCCTTAAAAAGAAAATATTATGAATAAGACATATCACAAGATACTTTATTTTGATAAATGAAAATTCGCATGATATTGTGAGAAAAAAAAACATATTTTATTAATTATTCTTATTTGACACACCCTAGTTTATTGATATTGTTTCTTTTATTCAGATATAAATGTACTTGTATCAGGTTTTTTTAATTTTTTGCAGCTGTTACTTCCATTACATAGTAGTCATATCGTTAATAAAACAAGAACGTAATAAATTTATATGCTTGATCTCAAATCCTACCTTTTAAAAAGTTATACATGGGCAATGACGTAGGTGGTATACGTATATATATATATATATGCGTGCGTGTCCTTATAGTGAAAGAAGTGACAATTCATTGAAGCGAAACTGCATATATTTTCAAAGAGATTAAACAGTGTAACATTAATAAGTATTGCTTGAAAATAAATATAAGCATCTTTCATTCGTTCTTATCAGTGCTGATTATAGATGTGATGATAGACTTATATATATTTATAGATCATAAAACAACAACGAGTTTGTATATTTTGGAATTGCCACAAATATAGTCAAAAAGAAAATAAACAAAAAATGAATTGAGTAAAATTGAATAACCTTTCAATTGGAAAGAAGAACTAATCGGTCTTATGCACTCTTCACATTCTCCTGACGAAAAAGGAATAATAAATAGATAGAAAGAAAAAAAAAAAAAGATGAACTGTTTATAATACGCACAAACAACACACGCACACACCAACAAAAAAAAAGAATAAATAAACTAAAACTCTTTCTATTTTTTTTTTGTCTAGAAAAAGAAGAAAAAAAAAAAAGAATTTTATTTTGTGGTATCAATTGATTCCCATCCAGCATCATCATCATCCGCCCATTTCTCATCATCAAATGTAATTAAATTAGGTGCTGGTGTTGATTTAGGTTTTGATGGAGCAGATGAATTTGTATCTCCTGTCTTTTTCGAAGATGTTGGTCGACTTGAACTAGTCGATGATTTTGAACTTGGTTCATCATTTAACCATGATTCAAAACTAAGATCACGTTCTGATTTTGAAATATCATTATTTGATTGTGACTGTTGCTGTTGTTGTTGTTGTTGACGACTAGGTAAACTATTAAAATTATTCTGATAACCAGAATCATTATTATACGCTGGTGAAGCTGATGAGTTTTGATATGAAGACGGCCAATCATTCTAGAAATAAAATATTATTTTTTCTCTTTATACCTTTAGTAATTTGTAGGTAGGTTATTAATTTCACGCACTATTTAAATCCATATTTTAGCTAATGAGAAAAAATTTCGCAAAAGTGACTTATCAATCAAACTAATATTTCGCTTATAAGTAGTTTCGAATAAGACTAATAGAGACTTATAAAGATTCATCCGTATGAATTGTCTTTCCCAAATTATTACAATTTTACTGAATTTTTCTATCTTTAGACAAGTATTTGTGAAATAATCAAAGTACGGAATTTCAACCTGAAATTTTACTCATAGGTAAATCTCGTATATTGTATAATACCTTGAAAATTTCAGTTTAAAGAAATTCATTGTTTCTGAAATATTAAATGTTGAAAACACTGAATTTTCTTAGCTTTCTTTATGACATATGATTGTTTTTAGATATTCAGTATCTTAAAAATAAGACATCTCTTGAAGCTGAAATTTTTGAGGACATTCTAAGATCATTACGTATTGATAAAATATCCGTTCGATTGACGAGTTACACTTTAGAACGTTCCATTCGTAAGAAAAATTCATATAAAATAACATAATACCTGTAAGAATCCAAATTGATGACTTTCAAAAACAGTCTTTAAGTTTTATATATATAAAAACTCTTGATATATTCTAAAACTTTCGATTCTCAAATGATAATTATTTTTTCACAAACAAATTTTCAAAATTCCACCTGGCTTAAATATTTCCAAACATTCTCTATGACATAATTTTGTTATCATCACTTTATAATTCATCAATATTTGACTTACAGCATCTGAATAATTATAATTATTATGCAATCGTTGATCTTCTCTATTAGCTGAATGATAATCTTTTCCTGACCATAATGATTGCATGTCCGACCATGTTTTCGTGCCAATTTTACCCACTGATGATGCAATATTAGTTACACCTGATTGAACATTTGTTAACAATGAACCATCTTTAGCTTGTTCAGTTACTTTTGATGTTAATTCAGTAGCTTTTTCAGCAGCTGTTTTTGATAATTTAAAAACAGAATCTTTAGCAACACCAGCCCATTTAGCTGCATTAACACTCATGTTGGAAATTGATGATACAAGTAAATCAGGATTTGATGCTGGACGTTGTGATGATGCATCAAAATTGGTATTTCCAAAACCCCAATATTTTGGGTTACCACTGCCAAGCCCGGATGAACATTGTTGTTCATTTGAACTACTATTTTGATAACCACCTCCACCACTATAATCTTCATTTCGCTGTTCGAATGATTTAAATTGTGTCCATTCCGATGAAGTTTGCTAATAGATGTAAAAAAACAAGCGAGAAACAAGATTAGTTTTAATTTTAGTTTTTCTTCAAGTTTATTTACTTTTGATGGTTTTTCATTATAATTTATTGATGAAGATGATGCATAAGGCGAACTATGATTTTGTGCTGAAGAAGAATCTATTGACCATGCTTTACCTTGTGCTTGTGTTGCTATTTTATCTCGATAAAGTGCAGCAGCACGTGTATTATATCGTTGTTGTAAACTCATTGTATTAACGTTATAATCTGATTGACTGGCAAAAAATTCTTTTGCTTTACGATTTCCACCTACTTTCATTTTTTCTAATTCAACATCTTTCCATTTATCCATTGTTATTGAACGTACAAATGATAAATGAACACCTAGTCCACGATGTTTACCAGAACATTCAAGACATATAAAAATACCTATACAAATATGAAATACAATATGATTGGTTTTTTTTTTTTTTTTCATCTATGGTTATCTTTATTAATATACTCTCATGGTGGTTATTCATAACTCTCGACGTGGGAGGAGATAGGGTGGGCTAGCCCCTCCCACTTTTTCAATGTGTCTGCTAAATATTTCAAGCAATCTTCAAGTTCTGGCACATCCAGTAGACGATCTTGGTTAGCAGATATATTAGATAGTGTAGGCCTGGAAAATCTGGCAGACAGCCTGTATCTGCATTTTTCTCAGTCAGTCTGTAGTATCTCCTATATTCGCCAGACAGTCTGTGGCCCTATTAGATTTAGCAAACAGTATAGACTTGGCAAGTCTGACAGACAATCTGTGACCTCTGCTAGACCTAGTAAGCAGTCTAGGTCTCGTGAATCTCACAGACAAAAGAGGGCTTGCATAGAATATGAAACTAAGCTTTAGTAACTCTTGTCACCTGTCATGGCAAGCTCAGCTGTCTTTCTGTGAAACTAGATCACAGCTAACTACGACTTTTAAAATTAAGCTTGCATTTTATATGAAAGAATCTCGTCGGAAATTTTAAAGGAAGGTATAACTCTTAGCAATCTGTGAAAAATGTTCGCTCCCTGAGATATTAACTTGGTTCTGTACTAGTTAGTAAGGTTTGCCGAAGTTCACGTTTTCTACGAAATTAAATTCCCAGCAAAAAAGAATTTCCTGCAATTTTGACATTGGAAAAAATTTTATATCGCTTTTGCTTAAAATAATTTCTAACATTTTGACCTTGCTCGGTTCCTACTTTCAAAAACTATCGAGAGCCTTGAGTGTTATAAAAGTTTCACAAGAGAATCATTAGGTCTTTCTTCTTGAGTTATGATCATTTTATTGAGTTTTCAGCACAGTGCAGGATACTAAGACAAAAAAAACGCAATAACGAGTTTCCGTCTGAAAGTTTCAGCTTAAACGATGCTTCCCCTCGGGGGTTAATACATTTACAAAAAATTACTTTCTCAAACAAGTTCCTGTAATAATATCCTACAAGTTCAGTGAAACGGTTATGATTCGAAAAGAATTTGCCACGACCGGAACTGAAGTTTATAGTAAGGCTTACCGTATTCATCAGTGTCGGACTAATGATTATCAATCGGGATATAATACACAACAAACACTATTAAATTCCTTATTTTTCCTAGACTAACAACAACAAGATTTCTTAAGATTACAAGTACAATAACAAATTTCGTCTTGCTCATTAAGTCGACATCATAAATCTAACATGATCACATTTTAATTAAAACATAAAAAAATCTTACCATATGAAACTGAAACCCATTGCGGATTTAATGCTCCACATTCAAAACAAACATTATTATCATCTTTTAATTTGAGATCTTTCAAAACCGAACGGGTACGTGGACTAGCCATTTGTTATTATAAATAAAAATCTACAATAATCGTAGTTATCTAATATGTAAATATTCGATAACTTATTCTCTGAGCTCTTCAGAGAATGCAAAGACAAACATAAATAACAATGCAAAAACCAAACAATTAAAAAATAGAAATTATTCATTATTTTGCTCTTTTACATCGGATAAAAATTCACTTTGATTAGTCGATTTTTTACTGCTACTCTTTGATCTATCTTTTGATTGTCTACGATGATGATTACTATTTCGTTCATCATCATCACTATCATGTCGAGATCGTTTAGATGATTTTTTATGATGAGTATGACGTAATCGATTTGCTGGTGATGATGATGAAGATGTTACTTGATCAGATTCAGCTATTTGTTTATTGACTGTTTGAGATGATTCCGTTGGTGTTGAAATAGAAGAATTGATTTTTGATGGTGAGGAACTATTTTTTGTTGGTGTACGACGTGATGAACGATAACTACGCGATGATTCATCATCGACTCGATGATGACGACTGTTATCTTCTCTATTTTGTCGTCTTAAATAAAACAAACATCAAGATAATTTAAAAACAAAAAAAAAAAGAAAAGAAAGAAATCTACTTTCGTGAATGATGTTCATATTTATCATCTCGATCTCTTGATGATTTTCTATCATTTCTTGGTCGTTCATATTCATCAGTTCGTTGTCGTGAATGATAAGATGATGATGAACGATGCCGAGAAGATGAATGATAATCACGTTCATCTCTTTAGAGAAAAAAAGCAAATATTTTTTTATTAATTTATATTGAAAATTATGTATTATACCTGTATTTTTCTTTATATCGATCATCTTTTGATGATTTATCATTATCATCAGTACTACTAGTTCGATTTTCTTCTGGTGTTGAACCATTTGATGAACGATTTTCAGGTGTTGGACTTCGACTAGGTAGTGTAGCAATTCGCCCATTATTATTGGCTGCTGATGCAGTAACTTGTGGCGGAAATGGTCCAGGTGGAAAATTATGTACAGGTGGTCCACCAGTTCTATAGTATAGAATAAATTGATCGAATCAATTAAATAAAATACTAACTGATCCCATGGTTGTGGAGCAGGATGAGGTACAAAATATGGTCGCGGAAGTCTAAATTATATATCTTAGAGATGCATTACGAGAAGAAAAAAAAAGAAGCAAGTTCTACCTATCACCATGCATTCCTCCAGCAGCCCCACGAGGAAAGAATTGTGGACCGCCAGGTGCATGCATATGACCGAATTGAGCTCGAAATGGCATGCCAGGTGGTAAGCGTATCATCGGTAATCGAGGCATACCCAAAGTTTGTATATGATGAGGATTACCTGATGGTGGAGGACCATTCGAATTTGATGGTGTCGATATAAGATCACCTACTGTTTGTCCACTAGGTGGTTGACCACCAAGACTACAAAAAAAAGAAAATTAATCGGAACTTGAATGATAGAAAATGTATGCGTATATTAAAAGTTACAATTGAAGTCCATTTATAAATGGTGAATGTTCAAAATTATTTGATGTTTCGAACATTGTTCGACGAGATGTATGATCAGTTGTACCTTGAAATATAAAACTTGTCGGTTAATGTATGATAGTTATTTATATTACCGATAACATCAATTTTTCCATCAGGTTTTCGCATATTCATAGGACGTAGTATCATTGACATATTCATAGGTTTATTTATCATCATTACTGGATGAGAATTTATTGGATGAACCATGGGAGGATGATTTGGAAGCATTGGTGGAATCTAGAAACAATAAAACAAAAAGAATAACTTTGAAGAAGAAAAATAATTAATGATTGATCAATTTTACGTGAGTAGTATTAAGACGTGCTAAATTATTTTCACTACGTAAACGTCGTTGTCGCTCACAATATTGCGCCCATGTTTCTTCAGTAAAACCATAATTAAAATATTCAGTAATATCCGCTCCTAAAAATCGTTATTTTAGTAGAAAATTAATCAGCATATAAATGTATTAGTTTTAAAAATAACTCGATACACTCAAAGATAGATTTCGAAATAATAAAGTAAATGTAAAACTAATTTAGTTGAGATTATCGTTGTTAATATATATGGTAATGTACAATAAGTGGAGATTTCTATGATTTTGAGATGCTTAATAAAATTTAATAATTATAAGAAAAGCTATTAGCACAATCCCTGTGGGATTAAAATGAGAAATACGATGTTGCTAGTCACAGAAAAATTGTTTTATTGGGACATATTTCTTCGTTCGTCTTTTGCTTAATCCTCGAGAAATACAAAAGGAAATAATTCAGATATAATCACAAGACGTTATAGATACAGATATTTTAAATATGAGCTCTTTTCTTTATTAGTCTTTGAGTGAAATGTGTATACAAGACAATATTGTTCTTTGTTGAACTTAGACTATGATATGATAAGATGAAAAAGTCATGTGACAATGACATGAAGAAAGAAAAAAGAAAAAAGACGTAGGTTGAAGAACAAGAAAATTTCCGAGTGACAGGTGATGAGAAAGTCGCTGTACAACATATTCCTTCATTTATCGACCGATTATTAGTGAATCTTTGAAAACTCCAAAAATATAGTACGATCAGGTTTCTGTGATGCTACTATCGATAATAAGACTTTTAGTAAAATAATATAAATATTTCAGACCAATGATTTAGATTTTCTACTAACTTCCTATAATCAGTTGAAAAATGAAGAAATATTTTGTCCAAAAACTTTTTCAAGATCCTATTCGATTTCAATAAATCATAAGACATCTTTCGAGATTTGTTATTTATTTCAAAAAACAATGTTTCAATCAAAATAATATATCATACCTGGTTTTTTCCATGGTTTTTCTTCATCTTTATATGCATTCAGTATATCATGATCATATGTTGGTTGTCCATTAATAACACCTTGTGCATCAAAATCTATACCTCGAGTGATTGATGGTTTTGGTGGCATAGTGGCAGAACCCCCTAGGAAATAAAATTAATTCATGATAGATTTTGAAAAAACTTTACCTGATAACATTCCTCGAGGTTTTTGTCGATTTGTTTGAAAATTCGATACTTCTGGTTCATAATCACCGATAGTCACTTGAATTCCATCGTCATCATCTGAATCATCATCTAATTGACTATCAATTAATGGTGTTGTTATTGTTGATGTTACTGTTGCTTTTTCCTAAAAATACACATTATTAAAAAGATAAGATTTTTGACTACTGAAGAATGAAGTGCAAACTATTTGACGTAAATTTCTCTATGAAATAAACATTGTGGCTAGAACATAAATTTTCACATACTCTAGCATTGATTTCTTGTGTTGTTATTTCATCAATGGATGGTGCTGTTGTATTATCTCTATGAATAGAAAAAAGCTTAATCGATATAAATAAAATTATTATTTTTAAAGTTACATATTTTCAGTACTTTTTGCTTTATTATCTATAATTATGAAAAAGAAAAAACAATTATTTAAATATCAATTAATATTCATTTTTCATACTTTCATATAGCCAAGTTTCTTCATCTTCATTCTTAGCAACCGATTCTGTAGCTATATTATCTGTTTCTGTTAATAAATCATTTGAAGATGGAATCTCAACAATCGTTGTTTTAGACATAATTCTTAAAAAATAATAAGAAAAAGGTTTTTTGCACGTATATGTTGACGTGAGACATAAAAATATAACCAATTGTCAATAAGTTAAATATTCTGAATATTAAATATGACCTCTATCGGTTTATTATTCTATTTGTTCATCAAATAATCCACTACATTTCATCACGATTGATCACAATTTAACATATTCATTTATTCATGTCTGGTGGCTTATTCTTAGTTGTTTGAAATCATAGAGTGATATCTCAGTATCCATGAATTATTTAATTTTAATATGCATGTGTGAAAGTGATGTTTTGTATCTATTTATGACAAAAGTAGTGCGAGTCTTATATTAATTTAAAATATTGAGTTTATAATTGAAACAAATTTATCTGTCATATCGAATATTGTTGATGGTCAAATAAGCTGTTTTAATTGATCATTCCATTTCAATTAGAAAAAAAAATGAAATGAACAAAATACTCATCGATAAGACTACTGGGATCTCTTCATCGCGATCGTTTCAAATGTAGAAAATAGCTATAAAATGTAGTTTTACTACACAAAGTTTTATCGTATTTTTTCCTAATCCGTCATTCAGTTTTACAAGCTCTCGGGAACTAATGACGTCGATTTTCTTCATTTTGTGTCATTTAGGAAGCTTTTTTCGCAGACTTGATTTTATCGATTGAACCTTGCATATTGAAAATACCAATGATACTAAAATAAGAACATTGATATAACACTACGAGAGTTTTACTTTTTCGACACATAGAGAGTCGTAAGATATTCACGGAAACGTTGTTCCGAAGCTCCATGTTCTTGTATGATCAATTTTTTTCCGAAACTTCGACATGACGTTCTTTTCGTTCTCAATTTGCTTCACAAAATGATGGTTTGGAAGTGAAAAATCGTTTTTTCTTCGAGACAATGAAAACAAAAATCAGGACGACAATGATTAGAACGAATGTTGATATCAACACTTACACGCACACCCTCAATTCTAAAGTTTTATAATCTGATACACAGTAAGCTCAGTTTGGATCTCATAGTGAATATACAAAATAAACTAATTTTGAAACTGGATATAAATCAGAACAATATAGTCAAGTAACCATGAAAAATACCATAGATGTTATGTCTCGTTTTTAAAACCAATTAATAGTAATAGTTTCGTTTAGATTTTCCTTAATAGTGTGACACTATGGATGTAAAAAAAATAATTTTGGGTGTGGGTGTCGTTGTGGGTGTGGGTGTCGGTGTGGGTGTGGGTCTGATCTTTACAATCACATCCGACACCCACACCCATACCCACACCCACCCACACCCACACACACCCACACCCACACCCACACACACCCACACCCACACACACCCACACCCACACACACCCACACCCATACCCACACCCACACCCACACCAACACCCACACCCTCTTTTGTTCCACCGACACCTCCCTACTCCCATCCTGGAAAAAAAAATATCTTGTCATGAATACTTTTCTTTGTTTCTAAGCTAAAAGATTTTTAAATAATTTGAAAGAAGAAGTACAATAATGATTATGTAAGCCGGTACAGTTTGTAAACCTTCGTTGGGTAGTACAATATTTTCATCAGTCCGATTAAATCGTGATAAAGAGAAGTATTGCATGTATTTGCTGTATTTTGACGAAGTATTCGTCGCTTGATCAAGAAGAATAACATCCGAAAGAATATCACCCCAAACTGGCGCAAATTCCATACCCCATCCACCAGCTTGTATCAATGCTTTTCTGTTTGTTCCAGGGATGTAATCAAGTAAAAATCCATTATCAGAGAGAAATGTAGCCAAGCATGTTGTGCTGCTCCAATAATAGTCCGATACATTTACTTCTGTTGTCATATACCGTGACACCCATGCAATCACTTTTTGAGTGAGAAATGTGTCGATTATATTTTTCTTCTGTGATGGATACATAAGAGGCTTGCTGAAGTCTTTTATAAAACGTGGCAATAGAGTAATGTAATCTGTTGATGATAAACTGCTAGTAAATCCAGTAAAGAGTGATTGTAGATCATGTCCATCCCACGATAACCATGTTGGAATTTGAGTAGAGTTTGAAAGAAGACGAAAATGATAAATTGGTATTTCCCACAGTGTTATATTCAAGTAGAAATTAAATAAATCAGAAATATTTTTGGCATAAGAACCAGGAACAAAGAGAACTTTTTGAGAAGCATATAATGTACCACGATCGGTAATAATTTGTGTTTGATTATCTAATTTTAATGATATAAATTCTTCATTCTCACGAATAACAATGTTAGGATTTAAACTAATAATTCGACGAAGAGCTATGAATAATGCTTTCACATTGATATAGCCTGAATGAGAGTGAAAGATACCTTGATAGTGAGTAGGAAATGTAAATGCTGAATAACGAATTTTTAACTGTGTACTATTCAAATATTCACATCCTAATCGAAGATGTTCACATGTATTTTTCATCGATATGAAATCACCATCGACGGTTGTTTGATTTGTATTAAAATCGCCAAAGAACAAGAATCCATTATCTGTATTGAGTATAGATCCAATAGACATATTCGCCGTTTGTTCTAGTTGGCGCCAGAGAGGTATGGACATATTTGCTAATTCGGCCAAATATATTTCATTGTAAATTTGACGAAATTGTCTTTGATCGAATGAACTTGAACTATCGTATGAATTCAAAATGGTTCCTTTTTCAATAATAGCAATGCGAAGATTTGTCTGTTTTTGTGATAAGTTAATGGCCGTGATTACACCGATTGGGCCTCCACCAATTATGACTACATCAAATGTTGTTTCAAGTCCTATAGCATGAGCTGTACGTACTGCTGATGAAAGAGCTCCTTCAATCCATCCATGAAACAAACTTGTGTATTCACCAATAAAATGAATATTCGAAATAGATGCTTGTAATGGATCAACAAGTTCAGTTTCTTGAAATGGAATGAACGAAGCAAATGATCCACGTACAAAAGGATCTTGACACCAATGTTTGACTTTTCCACCCTGAAAATAGTTGCGCATATTCGATGAATTTCTATGAATTTGTATCAATTGTTTTAATGCTAATTCAATGGCATCAGATTCAGATAGAGACTGCCATATCATTGAATTTTGAGAACGTGTATATGAAGCTAAAACAGTTCCACCATCCGTTTGATTACTTGTTGTACTTGGATAATAAATCGAACGAATAGGTAAATCAGTAGTTGAAGAGCCACCACGAATATTTTCTTGTGTATACCACAAAGATACATTGAAAAAGAGAAATATTTTTGAAGCACAATTATATTGTACTCGACGCAGAGCTAAATATTTCTGAATAAAGAGACTTCTTGGTTCAAAATTAAAGAATTGAGTTACAGTTGGTGGTGTTGCTACTATGGCTATATCGAACATTTGACTTGTACCATTGTCTAATGATAATTGAATCTTATTTGACTCCATTAACTTTACATCACTGATAGGAGAAGAGTAGAGGATTGAACATCGATTTGACTCGATTGTTTTGCATTCATTAACCATTGATTCTGCTAAAAGATCATTACCCCCTGATATTCGATACAAGGCGGATCCAGCCGAAAATACAATTGTATTACGAATGGATCCCATGATGGATGTGAAAAGATCCGTTTCATAATTGCCAGAAACAGCTGCAAAGTCAACAGCTGCACGTGACAAATTCATTTTATATAGATAAGATTGAAATGAATATGAGTCCCATTGTTTAAGAACTTCTGACCAACCGCCTGTTAAATATGTTTCATAAGCATGTCGAAAAGCTTCTGACGTTAATTGACCAGGAGTCTGCAAAAAATTGACTGTAATATTTTACCTATATATAAATAAATGGTGTCTTCTGACCTTTCCTCGTTCATTTTCAGTTCTATTAAATTGAAAAATATCTGGATTTTCATTAGCTTCTTTGTTTGTAACCAAAATGCCATTTATATATGTGTATGCATGATCGTCGAAGTTAGAAAAATCACTGATATTCAATTTGTATCGTTCTCGAATTAAATTATTCAAGTAGGGATGACTAGCGAGTGGAAAACGCATAGGACCCAGTTCTGCCATGTATTTTGACGGATCTCTGGGATCGCGATACGTTTCGATTCGTCCACCAGCCCGATTATTTGCCTCAAAGATCGTCACTGTGTGACCTGCTTCGGCCAGGAGAATGCCACAATACAAACCAGCAGCTCCTATCATTAATAAAACACAACTAGAACATGAAATACTTTCAATGAATAACGATTAATTTCGGATGAATCATACTTCTCTAGAAATTTTTGAGGACTAAAAATGTGACAATTAAAAACTTGATATTGCCTATCGCTTGAGTACAAGTTTTCATTGTCAAAGTTTCGAACTTTTATGAAACACAATCTGAAAGGAGTGTTGAAGTGTTTATGGGTAGAAATATAGACGCCCCCCCCGCCCGCCGGCCCACAGACTGTGATAGATCGGGATTCCGACCCATCACAGACCATGGTAGACAGTTTTTTGATCCGTCACAGATCGTGACAGACAGGAGTCAGGAGTCATTATAGACTGTGATAGAAGACTTCAAATAAATATGAGAGATGATGCATAGCTAATATATGATTGAAGCATATATGAATGATTTTGGAACANTGAGAATACCTTAAAAGAGAAGTCTATCCAAACTGAACCATCGTTTGAGTATACCACTTAATTAATTGTCTTAATTTCAATGTAAAAAAGTGTTATAATATTTTTCTGCAATTAGAGATTTGATAAGAGTAATGAAAGAATATTTCATGTTTTTTGAATTGTTTATTTTCATTGAGGTCTAATTTTATCAATTTATTTTGCTCTTGTGATAAAGATTTATACTTCTCCTGAAATCTTAAGAATTTCATTTGAACTACAAAATACCTTGGCTACGAGTATTTTCTACTTAGTTGCTGCATGTGACTATGATGCTATGCTTCGATCAAGATCAAAATATGCTTATATCGGTCATGTTTATTGAGGTTTAAGAATGAGTTAGGACTATTTTCGAACTTACAAGAAGATTATTGATGTGCTAATGTGATATATGTTTCAGTAAATCATCGTCAAGTATTACTTGATGGTTCATCATTAACTAAATCATAAATGTTTAATTAAGAAATAAACATAAAGAAATAAAAGAATAAGAGTTTCATCTGCCTTCATACATGACTCAAAATTGATTCTTCATTTAATTTATTAATTGTAATGAATGTAATAAAAAGTGGAGCATGATATGATCAGAATGATGTTCCATTACGATGTTGCATTTTTTATCTTTAACAATTAGCTAAGCCATATATAATTCTATACTCAAACTGTTTTCATGTCGAATATAGTGATACCGAGTTCAAGATTTTTACTGCTTATTGCATGATTACGGCTTCATTATACACTGATGTTTGGCGTTCATTGATACATTCCTTCGAAGGGCATTCTATAAACAGAAATCATTACGATTCTAATTATTAAGAGAAATAAGTTTTCATGAAAGTTCATCAATTTCTTAGGCTTGAAATTACCTTCTGAACTTCTACTGCATTCAACTTATTAGTCTACATTGACTCTTAGATAAAATAGAAACTGAAAGCTGTGTGGTTCCTGAAGTCAAATGAAATCTCAAACGATCACTTAAAAGTTCATCATGTTTCTCAAGCTTCTGAAACTTTTATATGTAAAGGGTTGAACTGTTACTATTTTTCTTAGACATGAAAGAAACAGTGATAAGAATAAAGTGCCTCATATCTTCATCCTATCTGCCTTTCATTTATATTTTTTGTCCATATTGAATCAAGTAGAGCGATATTCTTTTCTTTTAAACATGATTACTTGCGTGAACTCATTCGATTAGCCTTGTTCTATGAACTTCATAACGACTAATGATAGAAGAAGAACTAAAATCAAATGTAAAACAATCGATTCAAAAAGAGACAGGCGCTCAACGACAGTGAAGACATAGATGTTTCTCTTATATTTTATTCTACTCGACTTTTGAATAATTTACTAAGATTGATAGGTATATCTGTAAACTGAGATGGCAATGTATCTTAAATAAAATATTCTAACTGCATTTTTATATTCATCTTGTGTATATTAAATACATTAATGAATTATTCAAATTTTGTTCGAATCGGAATTAATCATTGACAGTAAGTTAGACGATAGTAGTTGTTAGAAGTTTTATAGAAATGAGACTGATAGTAAGGGTGTTGCGAATAATTTGCACAAATTGAAATGATTCCTATGTGATTGATTTTAATTTTAGATTTTAATTTGGAAAACCGCACTTAATTACGAGTTTGTCTTGATTTACTTTTATTTTTGTTGTAAACTAAGAAAAAAGTTCAGTTATTTATATGTGCAAAAACAAATCAGGAAGCTTCTTTAGGTATCAAATCGCATTTCGAGCAAGACGATATTCATTGGATGAATGCTACAGAGTAATAGAAAAATCTAAAATTGTTTAGTTTTCCAAGCGTTCGCTCTTCAGATAACAAAATTTTACTGGATTTTTTTATTCCCCCCTTAGATCATTTGTTTAATTGACTTTCGAATTTCTACTTCATACTTTGCATGAACAAAGCATTTAATAAGATTAGTTAATTGTGCAACTATTAGATTTTCTATCATTTTCTTTTGTAAAGATGTAAATATATAAACAAAATTTAATTTTACACATGAGAGAATTTCGAATCTTGAGCATCTCAGAAAAAAGAGATCCTAGAAAATTTTGAACTGGAAAATCTATTCACTACGTGGCCTGAAGAGAGAAGAAAAGTCCAGTAAAATTTTCATATTTCAAGAAAAAAAAAAGTTGGAATACCAAACCATTCTAGACTTTTCTATTTCTGTCAATCACTCATCAAATGAATACCGTCGCAGTTGAAAAGCGATTTAACATGTGAAAAGATTCTCTTGTAAGATCTCCTTATTTGTGAGAAACTGTGAATTATAGAATTCAAAACTATTATAAAAATGTTGATATACCTACTGGTAACTTTTTGTTTGTGCAATGCTCCTTTTCTTATTGAATCTTTCAAGTTAATTCACGTTGAGCCTTCAGATATATACTTGTTTGAATATAAAAAATACTTCGATTCACAAAACAAATTACGTCATTTGATTTATTAGATCAAAGTCAAAATTAATATTACTTTGTATATTTTTTGGTTTAGTCTTTATGATACTTTTTTTTTCTTCTTACATTCGAACGATATACGTAATTGAAATCGAGAATTGATCTTAGTTTTATCACTCAATCTCTATTTCAAATTATTCACTTGATGACAGATGAGTATTGAATAGAAATGCAATGAAAATATGTAGAAGTGTTTATTTGATCGCGTAATCTAAGAATTGAATCGAACGAGTATTGTGGGAAGAAGCAATGATTGTTTCTTTTTACGAAAAATATAAAGTCATATGTTGTACAAATGTCTTCAATACATTGGTATTCAGCGCCCTCTTCACTTCTGAAGAGGCAACGTATAATTTTGAGTCAATGGTGAAAAATGTTTGTACAAGGAAGCAAGAAAAAAAAAAGTCTGTATAACTTTTTGTAAGCTCATTTATTGAACATTTCATTTTGAAAATGTCATCGAATTATATGATATTTCGATATGTTTTTTCAATAATAAATATATGTTTTTTTGTAAGTTTGAATTTCGATCTTATTCTTTAAAATCATCAGTAAAAAATTTTTCCAAATAGTCTTTGGCTGTTGCAATTGTTGTATGTAGTTGGTTGTTACATTTAAAATCATCTGATTATGGTCCTTTAATGGGAAATCAATGGTTTACTGCACCTGTTGTTTTGATTTTCTCAGGTTTTAGATTAATTAATAATCTTTGTTTAGTATTAATCGTTTGAATTGATCTTTGTTTTTTAGCGAAATGCTCAATATTTCTTGGTCTTATTGGATGTTTGGGTGCTTGGTTTGAGAAAAAACCTTTACTTTTTATTGTAATGAAAAGAAAAAAAAACACAATGTTTTTCTTTTATATTTGTATTTTTCTTCTTTTATATTAGTATATTATAACAATGGTTATAATCTTTGCTGGATTATTAATTGGTGTCGTATTTGTTATCGCTTTAAATGAACGAGTAAGTTGAAAGTTTATTTATTATTTTATAATTTAATTATATTCAAATAAAGATAGCAATATCTACTCGAAAGGAATTATTGAACAATATTCGTCAATATCCGAATGAAGAAAATACTTTTCGTAAAAAGATGGATGCAATTCAAAGAAGAGTAAATTTGAAAAGAAAAATTGCTGATTTTCTAATATTGTTTTTTTTTTTCTTTAGCTTCATTGCTGTGGTATTGATGAATATCGTGATTGGTTTAATGCTGATATCTGGTCAGGACAGACTTATGTTCCTGATTCATGTTGTATTGAAGAAAAATTTGATTGTGGAAAACAAATTAATGTTAATGAAACTAATGGATTAATTTATACAGATGTATGTTTTAAATAAGAAAAAGAAAACAATTGAAATAGTTTAAAGAGTTATTTTTATGATATAGGGTTGTTTTAATCTGATTCAAATGGAAATAAATCGGAATTTAATGATTGTTGGTATACTTTCTTTCGTTCTTGTTTTTGTTGAAGTAAGTTTTGATGACTTTTGTTTAAAAAAAAAAATGAAAGAATATGATTAATCATTTTTAAATGTTGAAACAAGAAAAAAAGAAAAGCAAAATAAGTGTTAATCATTAATGATCTCTTCTTATCAGATATCTAACATAGATGGGAAGAGGAGTGTTCATATTAATGATTGCTATCTTATGTTCATGTTTAGTACGATGTATGATTAATGATCAATTGAATGAACATTGAAAATTTAATCGAGTTCGATTGACATATCATCCATCTATACGTTATTTAAATAAGTTTTGTGTTGAGAGATATACTTGTTGCGGCCATGGTACTGAAAAAAAAAGCAGAAAACGTCGATATGTCAATTGATTAACAATCGTTGGTCCTTTATATATATATATATATATGTATACATCAATGAAAAGAGATCAGATATATTGATAAGATAATAATTGTATCGATTGGGTAGAGTAATAATACAAGTTTGTACAGGCAATGTGTAATTAGGTTTTTTTTTTGTCTTCATTATAACAGTAGAAAATTAAAGCAATTGATTATCGGTTGAAGGGATGTCCCGAGGCTGTCAAAATTGACTGGATTTAAGGAAAAGAGTTTGTGCCGAAAAAACGAAAATTTTTCAAAATTGAGAGAGGATCATTCACTCAGGGTACATCTGCAAGAAGTCAATTAATATGATGACGATATTATTCATCTAGGGAGAGTCAGAAAAGCATGAAGATGAACGATTACTATAAATTTATAACAGTCACAGTTTGTGAGTGTCACACTTTGACCGCTCATAGGGCGCCACCGAGAACTTTTTTGGAGGAATGCAATAAAATATTTAAAAACGATTCGTAATTTTTTTTTCACAAAATTTTATATATATTTTTTTTTAAGGGTTTTTGTATTGTTGCTGCTCTTGGTCTACTTTGTTATCTTCGTCAACGTGATAGTTATATATGAAACATATGTATACAAATGTAATAGTTTTCATTGTAATTAAATAAGCTTATTTCGTTCAGATACACTTTGTTGTTTTGATTTTGCATACGATCTCATAATCATTTTGTTCACTATCTAATGCAACATTGTTTTCTTCTTTTTCCGTGTGTTTTTTATTTGGTAGATTTTCTTACTGTTTTTTTTTTAATGTCTGCTTAACAGTGTATGGATGATTTTGTAATTCTTTTTTTTTTTTCTGAAATGATTTGAAGTAAAATTTGAACGTTTAGCTAAAGAATAACAATAAATGTGCTAATATAATTTGCAGATGATCTAAAAGAAAAACTAAATAATGGAAACAAAACGTTTTATTATTCTTATACTTCTAAGTCATTTAGTATTATTTTATTCAATATTTGATGTTTATTTTACATCACCAATTAATCATGGAATGCCTGTACATCGTTCAACTCAAACACCACGTGCTAAACGTCTTGTACTTTTTGTTGCTGATGGTCTTCGATCTGATAAATTGTTTCAACAATTGAATAATACACCTTATCTTAATTCTATTATTCAGAATAGAACAAGTTTGAGTGGTATTTCACATACACGTGTACCGACTGAATCTCGACCGGGTCATGTTGCAATTATTTCTGGTTTTTATGAAGATATATCAGCTGTTACACGTGGATGGAAAGAAAATCCAGGTGAGAATAAATCATGAATTTTTGTTGTTATATATATTTGTAAAGTTCTCAGTAAGATTTAAAGCGATGTAAGGAAGTCTTTTAGTTTACAATCTCTGTTGCTCTTATCTACGATGTATAAATATTCGTATAGAAAATGCTGAAAGCCTAACTTTTTCATTTACAAAATAGTGTAAAGTATGTTGCTTGAAATGCATAGTCAGAATAAAATTTCGGTTGTAGTTGAAGGCATGAAATTTTCTTGTTTTAACTTGCAGTATATTGATTAAAAAGAAAAATACATTTTGTTGAGTTCATATACAGCGGAACATATATTCCGTATAGAATTGTACATGACGCTAATTTCGACGTAATTAGAGACTTAAATAACTCGGAAGGATTGTAACCATTTGATTTGAACTCTAAACAATTTACTCAAAATTTATATCTCATTTGAAATCATTAAATTATAATCCCTTAAGCTACTTAGTGAATTTTATTTTGAATAATGCATTTAAAAGTAGATACATATTTTGCTTCATTTGTAAGCAAAAAACTTAAACTTCTAGCATTACAGTTTTGTGATGTCCTTCAAAAGAAACCATAGAGAATGTGACACTTTGATTATCTGTTGAAGATAGCAACACAGTTTTATAGACACCATTATAAACTTATTATATAGAATTTTTTGCTCAACCATTGAACTACAACTGTCAGAAAACAAAACAATGATTAAAAATATGTTTAAATAACAGTTCTGCCGAAATTCACAATTTTAGAAAAAATAACACAAAAGACTCTTTCAAGCAGCTCTATACCATCAAGAACAATCTAAAGATTTTCAATGTTGGATTTAAATGTTACATCGTTCTGTCCGAAATAGAATTCTGCATCCGATATTGAACTTGATTTAATTCTATACAATTTTCATTTAACTTGTATTAATATTCTAGTTGAATTTGATTCAATATTTAATCGAAGTACATATGCATTTGGTTTTGGTAGTCCTGATATAGTTCCAATGTTTAAACGTGGTCAATCTTATGAACATTTTTATATTGAATGTTATCATTCAGATAATGAAGAATTTGGTAATGATCGTGCTCATGAATTAGATCTTTGGGTTGAAAGAAAATTTGAAAAATTTTTATTAAATAATACACTTAAAAATGAATTAAATAAAGATAAAATAATCTTCTTTTTTCATTTACTTGGTATTGATACAAATGGTCATTCATATAAACCATGGTCAGATGTTTATATGAAAAATATTCATATTGTTGATGGAATTACTCAACGATTAGAAAATTTAATTGAGAATTATTATAAACATGATCAAAAAACTACATATGTATTTACATCTGATCATGGTAAATTCATTTAAAAGATACATGAACAAATTAAAAATAAATTTTTTACTTTAGGTATGACTGATTGGGGTTCACATGGTGCTGGTGATGATACTGAAACATTAACACCATTACTTGTTTGGGGTTCAGGTATTCGTTCATCACGTCATACAGATGTTCATATTGAACAAGCAGATTTATGTCCATTAATGTCTTATTTTCTTGGACTTGATTATTCAATAAATTCAGTTGGTCGTTTACCAATTGATTATTTATTACCTGTTGATGAAGATCTTCTTCAAGCTTATCTTCAAAATGCTCGACAATTACTTGAACAAGTACATAAACAATATGATTTATTAAAAAAACGTTTATTATTTTTTAAACCATATAATTTAAATGAAGAAAATTTTTTTGAACGTATGGAAAAAGTTGAAGGTTATATGAATTTATATCAAATTCGAGATGATATTAAAGGTAATAAAAAAAAAATAAAGAATTTATTAAAATTTTTTATTTTTATTTTAAAATAGATTTTATGCGACATGTTGCTTTAGCTAGTCATTATTATCATACATATCGACGTTTTTTACTTAGTATATTAATTATTATTGGATTTTTGACATCTATTTGTACGACTTTATATCAATTAAATCCAATGAGATCATTATCATCATCGATAGCTTTATTATGTAAAATAGTATCGATTTTAGTTTTTATTCTTTTATTAATTGAACAATCACCTTGGACACATTTGTTATATCCAACACTTGTTTGTATACATACATGGATTTCAGCTAATTTTGCTATGAATTGGATACATCAAAAAGTTTTTAACCAAATAAAATATTTTTCATTTTGGTTAAATTTATTTATGATTGGAATTTTTTTACAAACATATATTTTACCATTTTTTCATCGTTGGACAATGTCAATAGGTGTTTTCTTATTATTTATTGATGCTATTCGACGTTGGCAAGGGTAAATCATAAAAAAGCTAGACTAAATACAATTGAAAGAAAAATTACAGGAAGACTGTTTTATTCTATGTATTTGAAAACATATTTCTCAACGATCCTTTGACTTAATCTTTCAGAAATGAACCAAGAGCGTGGATGCTGCTAAGGCTGTCTGTCACGTTCTGTGATGTTTCTAATATAATACCTGTGGAGAGATGTAAATCTCTACATAATAGATGTGTAACATAGAATATTTGGATTGTAAAATCGCTCAAAATCAGTTTGTTACTAATATGAAAGATTTGTTCCCGTTCTTCTAAAAAATCAAACTTTTGAAAAAAAAACTTGAATTTGAGTTTTTCTCATAGGAAGATGCACCCAGATCTTCAATTTCCCAATGTACAGGGTGGCCCAAAAGTCATGTTACCCAAAAAAAATTAAATATCTTCCTTATGGCTCGAGCAAAGAAGCTGATTTTTTTATCAATGATAGAGGCATCTTCAAGCTTTATATCTATAAGANTTATTACATGATGCTGTGACCGATTTCATGCACTCCTTAAATCCCAACGAGTACAAAAAGACCTTTTCGAGAAACGGATCGAAAGAATGCAGCTGTGTGTAGATAATCATGGTGATTCCTTGGAACATTTAGTGAAATAATCACTAAATTCATTTCTGTTTTTGTTTTCGTTTGCTTTTCATTGCTTTCGTTACACAGTAAAACATGTGGAATCAGGTTGTAAGAAATGATAAGAAGAAGAAAATGAAATAAAAGAAAGAAGAAGAACACAGAAAAAACGAAAAGAATGATGTATGGACGAAAATATCAGCTTCTGCTACCAGGGAGTTGTACGCAAAAAAGCTTTTCCTCGAAATTTCGCTAACTTAATAGAAGGCGAGGAATGATCAAATAGCATAGAAAAATAGAGCGAAGCACGCTCTATCTATTGGTAAAAAAAGAAACTTTTTTAGACATCTGCTTGAGGAAATAAGGTACTTCCCTCACTACTTTTGGATTGCCCTAAATAAACCACACGTTATGCGTATACAATCACGAGCATATATATTTAGCTTTTAATAATCTTTGGAGGTGAGAAGAGCGAAATTGAAAAAACAAAGTATGACTAGAAAGAGCAGAAAAAATGTTAAACAACTGTAGAGAGACACAAATTGAGCTTTGATTGAGAAGGAAAAAGAAGAGAAATAATTCAATGACGAACAGCAAGAACAACTTGACTCTGATTGAAAATACGAATATGTTTTCCTTTTTCGTTATCAATTGATATCGATATACGATCAACAATTCAGAAGAAATTACTCACGTCAATATAACAAATCTTGCTTGTAAAGGATGTATGAAAACCGGTTGCTGAGACTATCATTTTTCCTTTTTTGAAGATGATTCCAAACGAAAATGTCGTTATAAAATAAGGAGCAGCCGAAAATTGATACAAGCATTGCTTATAGTCCTTATAGGATATACTTCTTATATACAAATATACGGCATACTCTGATGTAAAGGCCAACAAAGTTTTTTCTGAAGGAAAGGAAAAAGAATATAGTCAGGGTATGGATGTGATGTATCATTGTGAGTGTTCTCAAACTTGATGCCTACAACCATCCCAAAATAAATTTTATCGATACAGGATGTGCATACATGGCTATTATATCTATCGGTGGAAATTGACACTTGCAATCAAATCGAAAGTATTCTGTTATATTTACTTACACAAGCAGTTGCAGTTCTAACCGACGCGTTTACAGTTGTTGGTGCATGCAAACTCAATCAAGAGTGTTGATGTAAGTTTGAGCCTTAATGCAGACGTGAATTTGAGTGCCGTTTCTACAAGAGAAACTGTACCCATACTCCACACCTAGACTTTGGTCTGTCTTTCCATTCTTAAACTTAACCCAGCCCAGTATAGTATACAGATGAACTTCCGTCAAAAACTTCGACTCTGAAAGACGGATTGTGCTCAGCAGGAGAACTACGAAGACTAGTTAAATGAGAGAATATCGAGCAATGTATTGAAAAGGCTCGAAATAGATTGATTGTCTTTTTTTTCGGAAGACTTCTCTGCTTTGTCTGGTTTCATCCTTTTTTTTTCATTCCGTTTGTTTTATATTTATCTTATCTCTATTAGTCAATAGAAGACACGCGTAGAATGTATTTAATAAAGAGTTGTGCAACATATGAGCAAGAAGATCTTTGCTGTTTTTGTGTGTATTCAAGAATTGAAAGGATGTCTATAAGAAATTTTATTGTATAATGTTTTTATCTATAGGAAAATTGTTAAGAAAAATCTGCTACGACTTCTCGATTAAGTAAGCAAATTATTGTCATGTTGATGATGAATGTACCTGTATCTTTAAGGTTAATGAGCAATAATCATTGTTTTCAGCCTAGTCTTGAGAACAGAGTATGTTGCAAACAACTAATAACGAGAGAAACTACACTTATATGACTCCTCTTTGGGCCAAGCATTTTAAATATTAGATAAGCACCAGAGAAAGATAAAAAACGTCTACACTAATTACCATGATTTAGTCGTTATTGTGCCGTTATTTTCATTGATTTTTGTGTTCTGAACCAGTGCCAAAGTAACAAATAGAGAACAATCCACTCGTAATATTTAGAGCTAAAAATTTTCTCATTATTGGAACAATTTAATTATCAGCGCGCTCTGAATGTTTTATCTAAAAAATGCTGTTGTTCTATGAAATAGAAAAAATGAAGTATGAAATTAAACATGACTCAGTTGTGCCACATCGAATAATCTTAAATATTTCAATAAAAATGCATACTTTTTAGTTAAAACTTCTTGAATACTACTAATTATGAGCTGCAAATATCGATCTGACGTCAATTCAGGGTGTGGGTGGGTGTGAGTAAAGGAAAGATCTATACCCACATCCCTACCTAATGAGAAAAGTTTAGACCAAAAATTGATTTATAATCGAATTAGTCTTTTTGTTTTAATATAATTCAATCAGCACTGCAATCTTGTGGTATCATGCTAATGTTATCAGTATTTAGATAATCATTAAAATGTCTGAAAGAAAAGCTTTCAACATAATAAAAACTGTTCCAGTCTTGGGTCAAGCATATGGTGCTATGCGAGGTCTTGTTTATGCAGCACAAGGTGATATACCGGAAGCGAGACATTCCGTCTCATTAGATTTGGCAGATTTAAATCCATTACGAATGCCAAGAAATCTTGCAAATGGTATTATTAGTGCAACGAATGATTTAGAGCAAGGTGCTTGGATTGGAAAACGACCCATTGGTAGAGCATTTATTGGTCTTAATATTCTTCCTGGAGTTGATGGTCTTCATTGGTCTATTCAGATTAACGGAGTTATTTATCAGTTAGTTCTCGATAAAAACAATCAAGTTAAAGTTCTTATAAGTTCGAAGAACGAAAGAGCTGAATGGTACGAACGTGATTGCAAAGAATATTCATGGTATTTGATGCAAAAAGAATTATCATATTTTGATTCAGAAGAACTCAGAAATTATGCGAAATCATTTGAAGCTCAGGAGTATCAAAGATTCATCGCAACGGGTGATAAAATAAACTGTCAATCCTTTGTAACCCGTATTTTTGCAACAGCTGCAAACATATCTATTGATAAAGCACGGAGTATTATTATCCTTTATGTGCCGAATATCTTATTCTAATAAATAAAAAAACTGACCGAATTGAATGGATACGTTTCATCGAATGAGATGATGGCATCAGACTGTGAAATGATTTGAATGAGTTTTATCGTTAGGCTTTTTATGCAAAAAAGTTTTTCAGTATCATTAACGGTTTTCTTTTCTTTGTTGTTATGAAACAAAATTTATGAACATTAGAATTCTTGTTAAGATGCATTCATCTATACTAATGAGAGAATAAACGAATTCATTTAATTCAATATATTATATAATTAATTGTGGTGAGGGTGTGGATCTTTTCCATCCAAACACCCACCCACACTCTAAGTCAAAAAATTAATTTTTAGCACTCTGGATGATTGTACCTTTGAGTTAACTGTTCTCCCCACAAACTAAGCTCAATGTAATAGTACCATTTTACAGAGTCTCAAAAGAGCTATCAAATAGGGCTCAATTCAAAGTGGACCTGTATCTTTATAGTACCATAGAATGGGATTTTCTCATGAGTACTCTTATGATGGCATATATGACTGTACAAGGTCATCTGAAGAAAACAGTGAAAGAAGAATATTCTGTCAGACTCTTCTATATCATTCGATAGCAGAAAGAATGAGCTTTTATTTGGTATATAACTCAAATTAAAAAGCATTGAGAACGGAGGCAATGTGCTTTACACGAGCAGAGCATACCACAACCCTACAGGAAATAGACAATGTCAAAATTTTAAGTCACTCGTGCGCAGCCATAACTAAGGCTAATTGGCTAATTCGAACGGTAATCGACTTTTGGCATTTCAATTGGCTATTTGGAAAATGTGAAACTCAATTTCGAGAGGGGGTCGATTCTATCGCTTAACGACCCCTCCCCCCCTCCTTTATAAACTATATCATATGTGTGTCTCGATGAAGTTAAGTGGTACCTGTCTATGGACATTATAATACTTTCGATTGAAGTTAAAACTATATGATATATTTTACACGGAAATCTATCATGGAAACATTTCGATTAATCACGAACTTCATGTAACAGTTTAATGAGAACATTATGTATGTTCATTGAATTGTACAATGATAAGTATTAATTGTTGAAGGATCACTCGATATTACGTTGACCTTACCTCATAGTAGACGATAAAAAAGAAACATTTTGATGAAGTTAATATCGACAAGCTTTTTCTATACGTAGTTTTAATAATTTACGGAGTTTGCATATATATGGGCTGAACTTGTACATAGAATGTAACTTTATAATATTCTTTTTCATCTATCGTATGAAGTTGTTCTTATCCTCTTCTGTTGCTTGCTTCACTGCATCATCACTTGGTACCACTTTGCATGTATAGTACGGTACAAATACAGAAGTTTAGATTTGAAAATTTATGAGAATCTGAAGAAGCTCTCAAATAAAAAGTTTTGGACCCCGTAAAATTAAAAATGCTTACGCAAAATGACATAAATCATTTCAAAATTGTTGTTATCTCAATAGGCTATGGCTATCACTAATGTCCTGGTCATGTAGATGATCGCACCTTAGGCTTGGCTTTATTTGATTTATATGGTGATAGGAAATTCCAAGATTTTTCGTGAAACTACTTGCATAGTTTCACTGACTTTTACGTATCTCTAGTACAGTGTGTGTTGACTGAATCTTATGGATCGCTATGAGACTTCGTGGAATTCACTGTTACCCTGAACGTTCACATACCGTATTTCGGTCTTTTATCAAAAATTTAAAATCGTTGCATCTTGCCAAAAAGACCATTGACAAAGAACTAAATGTAACAGGTACTAGTCAAAAAATGAGTAGACATTCAAATTTTATTTTATTTACGAAAATGGTTACTTCTTACTAGTTTTTCAAGCCTTTAAACATCTATCGAATTGTGAAATGTTGCCTCTGAAAAAGCTGTTTTAATGAATAGGTCACTTAAACTTCTTCTTCTTCTCTCATGATTCTGATCGATTCTTTGAATAAAGTCTTACTGAAAGAAAAATACAAGATGCTCCTCTAAAATTTAATCTTATGCATCATTCTGAGGATAATTCAAATATTCTTTACGAGTATCACGAAACTGAATGAGTAAAAATCATTACACTCTTAATGAAACATACGGAATGCTCATCTTGTAAAACATTATTGACCATTTCAATGATGACCACTGATTAAAACTCGAAGACATAGCATCATATTAATATAAATGTTTTACTTTACTCATTCATAATGTAATTGATAATATTGATGTACATGATTAATTCATACTTTCAAATAATAATGTGCCAGTACATCTTTCTCATTAAAACATTGTTACTTTCAATTCTTTCGATGTACTCACATTTGAACATGAATGATCAAATTGGCATATTTCAAATCCATTGCCATCACATCTGCCGATGAAATCATAATCTATTATATCTTATTCTACTTGAAATTAATCAATCAATATGTACCAAAAAGGTCCGATAAAAGTACCGTATCAAAACGTTAAATTGATAGAAATATACATATTTTGTTAATAAGTAGTGAAAAATTTACATCAAAAATCACGTTCACGTGAAATTAATAATATTTCCTTCCATAGATAAGTTATTGCTCATTGTTCGATAACTACTACTGTGAATGAATTTGAAAAGCTATGTATAGAATAGCAAACTATAGTCAATCATGAACAAGTATGTATCATGAGGATTGAATATAGGATTAGATAATATTCGTCAATATGAATCAAAGCATGCAATTATTCCTCATAGTGATACTAGAGGGTGTGAGTGTGGGTGAAGTGAGAGTGGGTGCAATCTTCTCTTCTACACACATTCACATCCTCATAAACGGTGAAAATGAGTTTGTTATACGTTGCACTTTCGTATATGCTTCAAACGTTTATTTTTCTACGGTTGCTTTTTTGTAGTGCAGAAAGGACTCTTTTGCCGAAAAAAATTTATTGACAAAGAACTTTAGTTTTAAAACGCTTTGTTTTCTCTCCGATTACATTTTCAGCATACAATAATCTATACGCTACTCTCACTCGATGCTTTTTATCAACATTAGACTTTTATTCGCGGAAGGATTTTTCTTTGTTCTGTTTTTTTTTTAAATAACCTATAGCAAATGATGAATTCGATACACTCGTCGTTGGGTAAAATTCATTGCGTCGCTCTGCCTTCTTCTTTCAGCAAGGCTATTTCATCTCTTCAAGCATCACGATAAACGTGCGTAAAAGAACAAGAAAAATATTTTTACTGCTTTATTTTTGTTTTCTTTCTTTCCCGACTTATTTTTACTTACAAGCCATTGCAAATCAAATATCGAATTAATTCACTGCTAGTTCAATTTGAATCAAGCAAACACCGATTTTCTCCGAAATAGACATTGAACATGGCGGATGCGGAAAATGAGGCTCAATTACATCGTTGTTTAGACGCGATTATTCGAGTCATCGAAAAAACTATGAAGAAATTAACCGGCCAAGAAGAATCAGGATGTTTTACTATGGATGGTGCATTGGATACCAATATCTACACATTTACCTTAGATGCTAAGGAAGAAGCTTTAATGGAGGAGATGAAAATCGAACTTGAAGAGGTCTTGAGAAAAAATGTGGCCAAATTATCGACACTCTACCGCAAATATTTATTAGATTTTTTGTATCAACACAGTTATGATTACGATTCTCGAGAGTTCACTCATCCTTTCAATGGTGGTATTCTCAAGGCCTTTGTGAATGATGCGCAACAGATGTTAGCTTCACTGAAAGCTTTTCAAGCAGCTTTTAATGGCACTGAAGACCATGTCAAAGATTTTCTGAAAAGATTTCCAACCATGAAGGATAAACCCGGCCTTTGGGGCACCACTCTCCTATATTCAGCGGCTCGAAACAATCATGTCAATCTGGTTCGATATCTTGTTACCAAAGCTCGATGTTCAGTGAACGCTCAAAATCAACAACATATCAAACGAGCTTTGTCAAAATCAGTCAAAGATGATCCTGATTTTGTTCCGAATCCATCGGCTGGTTCAACTGCGCTACATGGCGCTTGTTTTGCTGGTCATTTGGAGATTGTCAAATTCTTATTCGAACACGGTGCTGATTGTTTTCTCAGGAATCATGCTGATGAAACACCGATTGATAATGGACGAACGAAACCAAACATTATCAAATATTTTACGGAGAATCTTGTCCTTAGTTACTCGATCAAAGCCGAGGACTTACCTCATTTACCGATTCGTGAAGAGGATGAAGATTATGTGGTCGATTGTTTTTGGGAATACAAACCATTTAAAGAACAAAAATGGTTTCAATTTTCCGAACCGGAGTCGGCAACTCTTCAAGAGTCACTAATAGTCAAACCAGAACAAAAATTTAAACGCGAAATTCATTTACGAGTACGCGCTGGAACTTATGCTGTTTCGTTAATTCAATTTCTACGTTCAGGAAAAGAAACCGATTTCAGTCAAAAAATCGCCTGGATCCGTTGTCGAGGTTCATCGATCTTAAATTTCAGTTGTTATTGTCTATGGCAAATCATGTTTACCAAATATCCCAAAGCTGAATCAGAGCCATCGTTGACGATGTTAACCATACCAACGGCTTATGATAGTAACTTTAAAGTTCATCTTGATTCGTGGTATTTCTGCGATGCCAAGACCAGTGCTCTATTAGATCACACCATAAAATATCGACGAAAATACGTCCGTTTAGTCGTTTCGCGTGTTTGTCCTGATGAATTACTATTTGATTTACAAACATTTTCATTTACCAATGACAATGGAAGTGTCACCGGTTCCTTTCGATGGATACCGAAAATGATTTCGAATAATCCGCGCAACAAAAACAAAATTATCGGCATTGATGATTTTCAAACGTTAGCCAATTTAGATCCGATACCTTTAACTACGGGACGATTGAGAGAAGTTTTACAAAAAGATGATCGCATGTCCATCGCTGATGATGATGAGCTTCTCGAAAATGAAGAAGAATACAGTTCCGACATGGAAGCAGGCGATATTGAAGACAACGAGGATAAATACAAAGCTGTGAACGAGGTAAAGATCTTGACCGTAACACAACCACATCTTTGTTTTTCATTTCAGGCGCTCACCTTTCCCATTAATCAATCTTGGTCAGTACAAGATCTTGCTGATGGAGAGGGAGATCCTCAACTGGGTTCGTCGGCATCTGCGATTACTACAAGTAAATCTGACGCTTCAGATAATCTGGATGACAAACGAATGGATGATTTTATCAATGAAGCAGCAGCGAATGTTCGTTCACCGCAACAAAATCGTTTAGAAGAAAAAGTTACCAGCATTACGTCGGATGATGATAAAAATTCAGCTGTGATCAAAACCCAACTATCAGAATTAGAGAAGAAAAATGATCAATTGCAACAAGATTTACAAAATGAACAACGGCGAATAGAAAAATTATTAGATTCAGGCAACAAACATGAACAAGAAGTGGAACGTTTATTAGATCGAATCGCTAAGATGGAAGGACAACAGAAAGAAAATGAACGACAACAAGCAAAATTAAGAGAAATGGGTAAAAATATCAAAACAGTGGATTATAATAACATTCAACATGAAGTGATCCATCGATTTTTAACACCGAAAGATTCGATCATTATTGGTTATTTACAAGATTTAGTGAAAAATCTCGATCCATCATTCAACGATCGAGTACCGAAAATAATTTTTGCTGGAAAAAACAATCAATACGTCGTCACCGTTGTTGGTTTTTCTGCTCATCATCAAGGATTCAAAGATGTTTTACAACGTATTTTGTCGCTGATGAATGTCATCGAATCAGCTAAAGGTTTTTATCAACGAAATACCAATCGGCAGATCAAAAAATTCATGAAAGAAGCGGTATACTGTGTAAAATCAAAAACGCACAGTTGGAGAGAATACGTCAAAGCCTTCAGTCAATTATTAGAAGCAAAAAGTGTCGAATATGGAAAGAAATTCCAAGATTATCTCGATGAACAAGCAAACGTTTTGATCGATCAATGTATCACGGGCAAATTACCGACACCCTGGGTGGACATTCGAAAAGCAACTGATCAATTTTTGCAGAAACATCCATTGATGAACGAAATTGAATCGATTAAACATGCGGCATTAGAAGAATTTATCAAAGAAAATATTTTTATTCAACGTACAAAATTGGAGAAGAAACCAACAGCCGATTCTGTTGCTGTTCTCCAAGATTTCATCAATAAAGTGCAAAAAGAATTTCAATCACAAAAGATGTATCAAGGCCACGAACTGAAACATTTTGCCTTGATCCCCAAACTTCTTCAACGGCTCATTCTTTATTATGGTTGTTTCAAAGTCCAATTACCATTGTATGAATCATCAAAAGATTTATTAAACAAAATTGAAAAGAATGCTGTGACAACTATCTCGACATCCACTGGATCAGGAAAATCCACATTATTACCGGTCTTATTGGTTGCTGAAGGTTATGATAAAGTCATCGTCACCCAACCACGACGTTTACCGTGTCAATTAATTTGTAAACGTGTCAATGAAACGATGGCCGACGAATCCGGACCAACGAAAAATCCATTAGCTGGTTGGGCAGTGAGTGGTACTGAAAAATATCCAAACGCAAATATTCTTTACTTAACCGATGGTTTACTCAAAGAACGGTTACTCTACGATTCAAATTTAATCTCCACAAATACGAAATTCAATAAGTCAGTGGTCTTCTTTGTTGATGAAGTGCATGAGCGCTCGGTGAATATCGATCTTTGTCTCGCTTTACTCGCTCGATTATTAAATACTCAACCTGAATTGAAAACGAAAATGAAAGTGATCATTTCTTCTGCAACACTCGATGCTTCGGTACCCACATTATTCCGTAATATTCCTCAGGTTGGTCTCGCAGAATTCAAAATGCCACAAATGGGAACTTTACATACAGTGACAAAAATTGCTCGACCCAATGAAAATGCTTTAGATATTGTTCAAGAATTGTGCAAAAAACGTAAACGGCATGATCAAATTCTTTGTTTTGTTAGCTCAGTTGCCGAAGTAAATCAATCATGTAAATTAATTAATCAAATCAGTCGAGAAACAATTGTTGCCTATCCATTGATTCAATCACAACATCCCCATGTTCAACAATACAACATCGAGCATGGTACTGTATTCTTCTCAACCACTGTTGCTGAAACATCGTTAACGTTTCCTTGTCTTAAATACGTCGTCGATACTGGAATGATCAATGTTCCTGTATATGATTTTGAATCGAAACGAACTGTTCTACGAGAAGTCCGAGCTGCTGAATCAACAATTAAACAACGATTAGGTCGTCTAGGTCGAACTCAACCGGGTGAATATTATTCATTATACGATTTCAAAGTTGATGAAGTTCTTTATCCTGTGCCTCAGATCTGCCAATCGGATTTAATGAATATCGAATTCTCATTAAGAAAATCTCCGTTGAAAAAAGGATTCAACTATATGAAATCATTTCTACCAAATAAACCGTCACAGAAAGCGATCGATACGACTATTGAACAATTGAGAGACTTAAGTAAGAGACGCTCAACCTAAACTCCATGTAACTGATTTGTTTCGCGTTTAGATATTTTGGAGAAAGGTTCCAGTGACAAACTCACAAATGACGGCGAAGCTTTGGCGAAATTACCTGATTTTGGTTCATTGGCCATGTCCAAAGCAGTCTTATCAGCGCTTCGTAATTATGATTGTGGTCGTGATTTGATCTGTTTATCAGCGATTTTGGGTGTTCTTAACACAACAGGTCTGTTGAAAAGTTTACCTCAACATCTGAAAAGTCCTGATGGAGATTTTATGACTTTATTAAACGTAATGAACGAAGTTCTTTTAGTAAGACAAAGTAGTCCAGCAAAACAATTTAATCTCGATCAAGTTTGTCAATCGAAAGGTTTAAAAGAGATTCAACATGTTATCCGTCAAGCATTGAGACGTTACCAAACATTAGAAAAAATTTTTAATCAATCACCTAATTTCTGTTCACAAGCTCAAGTACAATCAGGAGACTGGGAATTGGTTGCCAAGTCGTTATTGGCTGGCTATTCGGATAATGTTTTTGTTTCCATGAAAGAATTACAAGATCGATCCCATTTATTCGTTCGTTACAATAATCGAGGTGATATAGCTAAACTTGATTTACAATCGACACTGACACGACCGATTAGCACAGCACCGGTCTCACTAGTCTTGGCTCGAGATATTCGTCATTCGACGGCTGTTCGAGCCACAGCAATCATTTCATTCGTTGGTGAAATCAAAGCGGAATGGCTTGAATATCCACTCGAACGTGAATTTGATTTGACCGGCGACGAAGAAACTTATCTTAATACAACAAATCGATATTCAAATGCCCAAATGAAATTCTCCCATCGAATCAATATGTCATTAGGCAGTCAAAAGATGAAATTCAAAGGTTCGTCCGGTATTGTTCTCAATGCTGAATTACATCTTCGACAACAAATGATTTCCGAATTGAAATTTAATTTGACAAACATACCGAATCCGGCTGATAATTCGAATTTTGCTCGAAATTTAGAAAGTATTATGAAAATGACCTACATCTTTAATCCGATGAAATGGCGATGGGCCACAGAAAGACAAGTGGAGATTACGATAAATAGCAACACAGCAACAAAAACTTGTGAAATTATTGTTAAAGGAAGAGATTCTGATAATAAAAAAGTGAAGAACGAATTTGATGCATTTATTAGCTGGTTACGAAATTGCGCCGTCATACGACATCCAAACGATTGTAAGTAAAGAATTTCCAATAATAATTCATCCTAGAAACATCTAGATGCATCTTTCAGATGTCAGTCCACGTGTACTTCGTCCTGCAATGCGAAAAGATTGTCGAGATATTGAAGAAAGAATCAATTGTGTTACCGATACGAAACGAACACCGGTGGATTTATACAAGGGTGTCAAAGGTAGTAATGCGACACGTGAAACACGAATGGAAGTGGTGGCATGGATTGCAGTTTGCAAATTTGACTGCAAATTAGAAGGTGGTTTCGTTCGGGATTGGATTGTCGGTAGGTATACAGCGCGACCACCTGGTGTAACCGACCCCAAAAAATGGATTGACACGAGTAATCCTATGCCAGCTTTAGTAAAAGAAGTGATTCCATGCGATTTGGATTGTCATTTACCTTCACATATGTATTTCGATATTGAGAAATTTCAAGATGAATTGTATAAATACGGCATCACATGTGAGGTGAAACGTGATACTTGGCGATATGTTGTGTTATTTGATGAGAATGAGCCTACGGGTCCATTTACCATGGATTTAATTGAACCCCATGTGGCATTGACACATGATCGAATTGATTTGGATGTGAATAATTTATCTGTGGAAAAAGACTATACACATGAACTTGGAATGCGTATCAATATTCAGCGAAAGCCTTATGAAATTGAATTAGAAAATATTGTAAATAACATCAAAAATAGACATTTTAAAGTTCTTCGTCCTCTCGATCACTATGTTCAACTGCGTATCAATAAAATGCAACAACGTGGATGGACACAAGATGGACCTGTTATGTCAGTCATACCTGACCCGCATTATAAATATTATGCCGTTTTAGTGCCATTACCATTGAGTGCTACTCTCTATATCGACGTTTCGGCTAAGATGAAAAGTATTTCTTTGGCCCAAATTGTCTCGATTGAAGAAATTCGAAATCCATATCTTGAAGAAACCTATGAAGGTATGAAGAAACTTATCGCCAAACAATGCCCAAATCAAAACCCAAACGAACAGGAATTATTTCATGGCACGAAAAGTGCTGGAATCCAAGGTATCACAGAAGATGGATATGATGATCGATATTTTAACAAAGGTGGTTTGTATGGTAAGTCAAATATCTACACCTGAACACTGGCATCGATTTGTCATTTAGGTCATGGTGCTTATTTTGCTGATGATCCAAACAAATCACACGGTTATACTGAAGTGAATACAGCAAATGGCACACATGTGATGTTTTACAACAAGGTACTGTTGGGCAATCCAACAACCTTAACTGCTACTGACAATACACTGGTCTCAGCACCGCATGGATTTCATTCGGTGATTGGCAAACATACAGCAATGACTGAATACATCGTTTATCGCTATGGCCAAGCCCTACCCTATCTAAAAATCGTTTACAAAGCTTAAAGAGCAGCTATTGTCATTCACTTTTATCAGCATATCAAATAAACATGATAATAAATTGAGAAAAAAATGAATGGAGAAAAGATTGCATATCTGGTCTGGATATAGATGTAGGGTGTGTGTATGCGTGTGCGTGTGCGTGTGGATCTTGTTTTCTCACATTCACACCATCAAAAGCTATAGTAATTGGACGTAGAAACTTGGAAGCAATCTCTCTTGCTACTGAAAGATATCGATTCTGATTAGAAAGAAATAGATAACAACTTGTAAAGTTTGTCTACTGTAATGAAATTAAGACACTTACAAAACTGCTTTGTCAAATGTCCTAGATTGGTATCATCAACCATTAGATCTAATCTGATAAATGAGAATGCATAGGAATACATCGAATTATAGCTAAATTTTTCATGTTATTCATGAACAAATAGAAAGATACATTTCTTGTTTGTTTTCTTTAGGGTAAATCTCATCTGCAAACAATCAATAAAGATATTGTTACACTAAAGTGTTTAAAAAACAATCGAAGATTTTCTTTCACTATTTCGAGAAATAAATGATTATTTACATGTTGTTAGTGGAAAACCTCCACATAAACTTAATATTGATAATTAACATCAAATATTAATTACAAATGGTTGTTATATATGGATGAAATTAATTAAATAACTTGGGTGGGTGTGGATGAGGTCTCCAATGATATCTACATCCCGACACCCACACCCACACCCTATATCATATGAATCATGAGATATGCATTCACGAATCAGCTATTTTTTCCAATGAAGAAGAGCCTCCGTTCTTTAAAACATAATTATCTAATCGCTTGATATTTTATCCAATCAAAATACATGCCCACGACAGTTAAAGTATGACCAACAATTATGCACTTCAAAAAGGTGTAACAACAGTACTTAGGCATGTGCACTTATACAGATCAAGGCACTAACATGTAATACTTTTCAATAACTTTTTCTTCCTGAGTTAAAAGTTGCGAAGAAAACTAATTAGTACATGTTGTAGAAATAATTATGATCCATCGAACCAATAATTTGCTCATTTTAGAATATTTCATTTTTTAATTAGTTTTTAGTCATTTTACATTCAACTGCATCAGACAGGGCAAACTATAGTTTCAAAAAGAGATTACATGATTGTTTAGGCATTTGTAAGGTCATATATTTCATAGGTATTTTCATGTAATTTTTCACGCTAAGTCTGATTAAATTATTGCACTCTAGTTTTAAGTTAAAACAAAGCCGTTATCACTTTCACTTTTACAAAAAAATCAATTTTTTTTAGGCATAATATCGAAAAAGCAAAAATGCATGTGTATCGTATTTCGCCTATATGTTCACGAAAATAGAGTCAAATATTCAATCATTCAATACGAAAATGATCAGCTCAAAAAACTCTACAAGTTCTGCAGAGTTTCAATAAATTCAGACCTGCTAATCCAAGTATTTCACCGGTTTTGAAGATCAGGTTCACTAAAACTCACTGAGGAAATTGTCATGAAAAATAGTTTTGATGCTCGTGCGCTACCAAATTGCAGTCGGGGAGAAAGATAAATAGCGTACGTTGTAGATCAAGAGCTGCTCTATCGAACTAGCTATGCCACCATTTCCGTTCATCCCTACTTTCTGATCAACTTTTTTGAAATACTGTTGGTCAGAAGCACGTGACAAAATCAATCAGTAATTTTCAAAAGGAGTCTAAAATTCATAGTCAGTCTGAAGCAGTTTTTCACGAGGAATCTGAATATACCATTGGTTTTAAAATCGGAGCGAGAAATGATGTCCTAACGTTTGTATTTTCATTAGAGGATGACCTTTATTTTTACCAAAATCTTGAAAGTCTCAAAATTGTATTTGATTCATATCTCTGTGATAATGAGGTTCAAACCTAAATACTTTTTATCAAAATGATCAGCGCAAAATTCTCTACAAACCCTGAAAGTTTGAAAGGATTCTGACATGGTCATTGTATGAGCTGGCGACTTCCCATGGATTTACTCTACAATCAATACATAGCTTTTATCTAAGATCGAGATCGGGACTATTGTCTATTTCAGAGTTAAATGGCGATGGGTATTTTTTCTTAATTTAGTAGGAACAAGATATAGCGGATGAAGATGCATCGAATTATATATATAAAGAGTCTTCTAGATGTTTTACATAAAACTTCAAAAAAAAAACAGCATGTTTTTTATAGTCCCGATATTAATTTATTGATTTTCAGGAGTGCGATAGAATCGATAACAGAAGGACTATAAAACTATATCAACACTCCATTTCTAACTACTACCAGTATGATATACAAACCATCGAAACACAATTTATCACTTCATTTTTTGTCAAGAAAATAATCAAAAATGTAAATTTTTTGTAGTAATTTCCAAGAATAGTCACTTTTTTTCGCGTAGAAGTAAAAAGCAATCGTTTGACTAAACCTTTAGGAAAGTAGTTAGGAAAAATGTTTCTTCATCTGTTCTTTTCAACAATGAAAACTGCAAATCTCTATCTTGTTCGTACAGAAAGTTATTAAAAAAATATCCACAACTATTTAACTCTGAAATGGACAATAGAAAAACTTTCGCTGGGATCGGACTGAAAAATACTGACTTTTCAGATTCCTACATATTTTTCCCATCTATTTTTTAGTACAGAAAATATTTTCTCTACATGAAACTGTAACAATTTTCAAGGTGAATAAGTCGTCAATCTACCATCTTATTTATGTCTTTTCTCTCATCTCTCAATGCATTATCATCAGATTTTTATCTGATCATTTTAAGCCAAATACAACAGATTAATGAAAGAAGCATTTTTCAATTACAAAAAGAATTTCAGTCCTCAGTGGGCTAATCTCTAAATACATATTTTATTAAAAACAAAAGTCAAATAGACCTAAGTATGTGCAGTTTCAGTGCAAACGCTAAAATACCGACAGTGATGTCACTGCGCAGAGTGCACTCTCTGCAGTGCCCACGCTGATATTTGTATTCACTGAACCAGTCGCTGCACTGTACTTTTAAAAAAGGGTAGAATAATAAACTCTTACTCTAACTGCAATCTTTTTTCCAGTGGAGTGGACACCAATTTCGGTGTAGCGAGCGTGACTGTCGGTGTTCAATATATTGAAACTGCACATTGCTGAATATACTAGAATAGGAAAAGGTCTACATTCTACAAACATCAGTGAATATTAACTGTATACTTTTTGTTTTGAAAAAAATAAAGATCAAAGATTAGTTTTTCCCGTTGTCTAAACATAAAACTTAAAGGAAATTATTATTAGATAGTAACAAGATAAGATAAGAAAAAGGATAATGTTTTTCACAATAGTAAAAATCGCTCTCACAAGATTTTGTTTTTTTATTTTTTATTAAATATAAAATAAAATATATAGGATGGTAAAGGAAATTGTTCAACTGAATATGATTTATCATCTCGATCAAAATCTCGAGAAAATCGTTCAATATTATCAACACAAAATAAAAAACATAATATGGATTATAAAACAAAATCCTCACTTGTTTTTCAAACTGTTAAATATCGACGTTCATCAACATTAAATAATAAATCAATTAAACAACGATCACCATTAACAATTAATCGTTCATCATATCGTCGAAGAAGATCAAGTAATTCAATTAATTTAAATAATATTAATAATCGTTTTCGATCAACAACTAATAATGAACGAATAAATAAAGAATCATCACCATGGATTATAAATGATAATTCATTAGATTTTATTGAATTTATTCAATTATTTAAATCATTTTATTTTCATTGTCGACGTGATTTAAAAGATTTATTTGATAAATTTGCATCAGAAATAAATATTGAACAAGATTATACAATAAAAGAACAATATAAATATGATTTATTAGATATACAAAGACATTTAACTGGTTTAATAACACGAAATATAATAGAAAATAAAGATGATAATAATAAAAATCGTATATATGATATGATGGCTAGATCATCAATACCTTGTTATGCTATAAGTACACATATACGTCACAATTATCTTATTGATATTGATTTATTTAAACTTTTTTTACTTGAACATCAAAAAGAAGATAAACATTATAATGATATCATACAAATTATTTATGTAAGTTTATTTATTATATATATTCTCTTCAATTTTTAACTGATTATAATTAATTATCAGTGGCGGATGTACCTGTTCGATGAACTGGCAACCGTCATCCCCTTGCGAATTTTTCTTCAACAGAAATAAGAAAAAAAAGAGTTGTAAGATCTCAAAAAGGGTTCGAAAACCATTATTTGACCATGATCACTGCCTAGAGTTAAAACCGAACCAACCGGTTGAGAATTTTCTTTTTAGATATGACATTTTTCTTTGATAATACATGTCGAAAGCAAGTTTAAATGCATTTATCAATTTTATCTTCTTCTGTTCATCTGTACCTTTTTTTATTTTTTCAATCGGACTGTATTTCGCTTTGTGAAAAATCTGTATTACTTGAGATGAACTTCTTAATTTATCTGGTTGATGTATGTTAGAAACTACATTTCAGTTTGAACTGTCATTCTGAGAGAAATATAAGGCTTTTTAGTTAAATTTAGATAAAGAAAAATTCAAGATTAGTAGTTTAGAAATCAGTTGTTGAATAAATTGACATTTTTTGCAGTAGAGAAACATCACATATTCATTTCTGAGAAACCTTAAAAACATAAACGACTATGACATGATATTTTCTCTTAAAGCTTCCTAAAATAGAAGCCAAAAATAGGAAACTAAATGATTTTAAAGCCATTTTCTTTAGCCGATTAAAAATGATTTGGCACGCTGGCCGATTTTTACCGATCTGAAAAAATTTTGAAACCAGCCGGACCGGATCCATTCCAACTCTGCCGCTACCCATGTAAAAAAAATTGCCTCAATAATCACAAAAAATCTGATTGTTAATCGATTATAATCATACGATTCTTAATCACTAATTTACACAGAAATAATCACAAAAAAAATCGGTTATTTTATTCAATTTGATTATAATCGGTTCGNACAATATCTCAATGAAATAAAAGATTATTGCGTTAGTGCATTTCAATGGGCTACAAAAGAAGGTGTACTCGTTGAAGAAAATGTTCGAGGTGTTCGTTTCGATATTCAGGATGTCGTGTGTATAAGTGATGCAATACATCGTGGTGCTGGACAAATTATTCCAACAATGCGTCGTGTTCTTTATGGATCGATGCTTACTGCTAGTCCAAGACTTGTTGAACCAATTTATTTATATGAAATTCAGGTAGATTTACAATACGTCGAAATCTTTATCTCATTCAACCTTTAATAGTTGCTTTAGTATCCACAAATGATCGCTGATCATATTTATAGTGTGCTAAACCGTCGTCAGGGTTATATTTCTGAACAACGTCAAATATTTGGAACATCAACATACGTCGCTAAAGCTTATCTACCGGTCAGCGAGTCTCTTGGTATGAGAATCATTTGTATCTTTTTTTTTCATGCATACTTATTTTGCTTTTGTAGGGTTTACTGATGATCTTTGTTCGAATGCTGATAGTCAAGTAGTTGCCCGATATGTATTTCATCATTGGCACATTTTAGATGAAGATCCACTTGATGAATCAACTAGAATTCGACAAGTTGTTAAGAATATTCGAAGACGTAAAGGACTGAAAGAAGATATTCCATCTACAAATGATTATCTTGATAAATTATAAATATTTTAAATGTTTTTTGAAAAACGAAATTTGACAAAATCTCATTGTCAGTCATTTCTGTAGTCTGTTATCTCTCAATACTCACTAGAATGATCAATTTTAGAACCAGTGTCAAACAAAAAGAAAAATATCAATATTTTAATGCAAAAGTTTTACAGAAGTGTAACAAGAAAAAAATAATCATTAAAATGATCTTGTAAATACTAGATAGAAAGTAACACGATGAAATTCGTCCTATAATATTTTCTGACATTTCTTTTGCGATATCTTTTATTCAATATTAATTATATCATTCATATGCATAATATTCATGTGAAACAATACAAATTCTATGATTTCTAAGAATTTTCTACCTAAACTGAAAGTTTATGTTCAAGATTGAAATAAAGTTTCTTCAGAGATTTCAGAATCAGAGACCAGTTCAAAATCTTTTTGATCTCTCATATCCTCTATCCTACGTAATTCGGATAAATATGAGACACTCCTGAATGTGCTTGCTTGATATTCATCATTCCATGCTTCAAATGACACCGTAAGAAAACATAATATGCTATTAAATCAAAGATAATGAGGAAGTGGAATAACTTTTTTTGCGTCAACTCATTTGATCTCTCGATTTTCATCAAAAGACACATTTAGAAAGGGAAATGTCTATACATATATTGCTTCTTTGTGCTAAAGAATTCAAAATATTCGATACAAATGTCTTCAACATCTATTGAATATCCAAATGATCGAACCATTCGTCGATTCGGTTAATCTTTGTAAGAAATCTTGTTTAAACAACTTTGAAAATAATTGGGAAATGGATTGACAACAAGTTCTTATTCACTAATTGCCGATCTCTTTTTCTTTTGAATAACTTTGTGTATCTTTTACATCTTCAACTCTTATATTGTGTAAATATTATCAATTTTCACAAACTAACTCGATTACATTTGAAAGATACAATGAAGACTAACTGAAAAGCCAGAAGCTAACAGAAAAAATGTTCAGATAGTTACAATATCTTGATACAAGGTCGGTTCAAAGCGCCTACGACTATAGAGAGTCACAGTCAGTGGAGGAAGAGTAAAGTACAAAATGAATAACCTCAACTGTATCACACCCACACACATCTCATATTCACAAAATGAAGACTATATTTCAGCTATCAAGATTGGATATTTGATTGGGACCTCTTAACTTCAAAAAATTACTTGGTCTATCTTCAATGATTAATTAAAACAAAATAGACAAATATGTTAGGAAAAATTATTTTGCTTTATATTCTGATTCTAGTAGATTTAGCATCCTGTTCATAAACAGCAATTTATGTACTTGCGAACAGAGTTGGATCAACCCTGCACGATCGGCTGTATCAGTATTATCAAAGAACTGGAAGAATCTTTTAATCACACATGCAAAATAACTATGTTTTTTGAAGATCAAAGAGATCAGAATAATTTATTTTTTAGTCCTTTTCATGTATTTCTAATCCTAGTTTTTTTCAAAATATGTTAATGAACTTGAATAATCTTTCATTTCTCAACATGTTTCATCTAAATTTACATGTCATGAATGTGCAATGTATTTTATTGAAATTCAAACGCTTTTTGATAATTAATCGTAAGTGTATAAAGATCATCAGTGTAACGAATCATACGCAACCGTCCGAAGTTCATGCGTTTCTGGTATGAATAACTCATGTAAGGCGATAATTTAGAAAATTTGAAAAGTCTTTACAGGAGACTGGAAAACTATTGCACAATATCTTACCTTTATGACGTGTAGTGGAAATATAATGAATACTAATCTAATCGGGCTAAGTTTAAGGAAAATTCCAGCCTTTGATTTTAAGCGACTTTCTTCTTAAATTCAAATGCTATCTGATATACACTCGACTAACATTATAATAAATGTTAGTCAACACAGTATAATCTTTCTTAAGAGTAGACTAGTTCAGCTGCGTCGAAGTATTTCATTTTGCTTATTCAATGTTATGTACCTTCATGGGTTCCAGAGGTAAGTATCTTCATGACAACAAGTTAGAAAATTTTGAATATGGGTGTGAATTTTAATGTGAGTCTTTGCTACATTGAAAATCAGGTTCAGTTAAATAGCGACAGCTCGTTTCTTAAATATTTGATCAACTTGTATGAATTTCCAAATGATTCATATATATATACTAGTTTAATAATTTCTTGAACAATAGCAAGCCTTGATGAAAATCGCAAGACGAAAAAATATAGATCTATAGAAAAAATTTTATGAATTATTCAAGCACTAGCAAGTGTCTTTTCTTAGATCCGTCAACTTTGAATACGTTGTATTTTCTTTCATATGACATTTTATGGATCGGAGAAACCGGAAGTTTATCATGAAGTGATACACAGAAAAAGCTATTCTTCTAACATATACACTACATGAGACTCACGAAAATGAAATTCAACTATATTTTTGAGTATAAACGTTGACATATACAACAAATATTTCTTGTCTATTTGCACTCAACAGGCAACAGTAGAGATAAGTAAGACAATAATCTCTTCATTCTAGACATTTATCTATATGAATGTCATACGCAAAAGAAAATATTACTTATGATTATCCTTGTCTTAAAAAAAAAATAAAAACAGTATATTGATTTAAATAAATCGTATCAACATTGACATTTTTCATTTTTTTTGTTTGATTCTATAAAGATAAGAAACAAGAAAAATCCGACTTTCTAAATTATCGTTTTAGATTTTAATTAAAAAAGACAACATAATGAAGAGTTCGATTATTATGCTTTTTTTATTTATTTTTTTTAATTCAATGTTCAATATCAAATAAAAAACCAAACCATATTTTTGACAAACAGTTAGAAAGAATTATTTCGATGTCAGAACAAAAATTTGCAGGTGAATTCCAACAAATGGGTTCCATCGATAATAATAAGCGTAGTTTTATTCATAATAGTCAAGAAAGAAACCATTATCAGTCAGAAATTGATCCTAATGATCGCATTTCTGTTGAACTATGGAATAAATTAAATGAAGAAGATATAAAAAATATTCCTATAATTGATGATTATTCTAATGAACATACTGCTACACAATGGTTAACATGGTCTGCTCGTATTGCGCAGCGTTATAATCAAGTAAGATAAAAAAAAAGACTATTGAATTAATTTATAAGTTTACTCAATTTAGATAGATAGTCATCTCGGCTGAAATTTGTTGACCAATATAAATGAAGAAAATCAAGAAGCACTGATTAATCAAACTCTAATTCGAGCATCATTTACTAAATTATCTTTAACAGCAGCAAAAAAATTCAATGAATATATGAAATATTCTCAAAATGAAGATTTAAAACGTATATTTGGTCGTTTAGCATTAGGTACAATTAATAATAATGAAGATGATTTAAAAAAAACTTCTCAATTACAAGCAGAATTTGAAGATATTTATGCAACAACTAAAGTTTGTGAATCAAATGATCCTGAAAAATGCTATACACTTTCGCCGTACTTAGAACGATCAATGCAAATTGAAAAAGATTATGGTCGTTTAATATGGACATGGAAAGGTTGGCATGATAGTTGTGGAAATAAAGTTCGACCTGTTTTATATACCCTATGTTAATCTATTGAATAAAAATACCAAAGAAAATGGACATAAAGATCTATCTGTAAGTGTTTCATAATAAGATACAATTCAATTTTTGCAAATTCAAATCAAAAATTTATCAACAAAAGATTCATAAAACTTTCATTGTATTTGATAATTATCATAAACGGAATCATCTATAATTCAACTCAATTTTCTTCACTAGACTAGATGTAAATGACTTCTGACTTCACTTTTCATTGAGCGTCAAGAGTTTGTCAAAAAAAAAAACAATAGAATCGTGATGAATGTACTAAAAATATTGCCTAACAATATTTTCTAAACTTTTTACTAGAAATTCTTATCTTTTGCACTTTGCATAAGAAAAAAAAATGTTATATGTAATAGTTATTTTTTGTTTTTCAGGAACCATGGATTGCAGAGTATGAGATGGGTGATACTGAAGAATTTGAAGAAATTATTAACCAACTTTTAAATGATACTATGCCATTATATGAACAATTACATGCTTATGTTCGAGGTCGTTTATGTTCAATATATCCAAATCGTTTTAATTGTCATGGACCTATTCCAGCTCATATTCTCGGTAAATTTCACTTTTATGAGTAACATTATTAAAGTATACTGTTAAGATGATGCAGAAATACAAATATGAATGTGACATTTTTCTTCTCTTCAAAAACTATCATCAACTTTTTAAATATAAAATCATAAACTTCACTATCAATAATCCTTTGTTACACCATCTATGAAATGACTTTCATATTAGTTAGACTAATATTTCACATTTTCATTATGCATTTCTTGTAGGTAATATGTGGGCTCAACAATGGAATGATCGTTTCGATGATTTAACGCCTTATTCTGATGCTCCACTTGTTAATATTACAGGAGCATTAATTGAAAGAGGATATACTGTTCATCGAATGTTTACAACAGCTGAATCATTCTTGACATCAATTGATCTTTATCCAATGACATCAAAATTTTGGACTCGTAGTTTATTTGAAAAACCTACCGATTGTGATGTTGTTTGTCACGCATCTGCACATTTTATGCAATATCAAGATGATTTTCGTGTTAAAATGTGTACTGAAGTCAATGATGATCATTTTGATACAGTTCATCATGAGTTAGGACATATAGAGTATTTTATGGCTTATGATAGAAATCAACCCTATGTTTATCAAGAAGGAGCTAATGCAAGTTTTCATGAAGCTATTGGAGATACAATTGGTATCTTTGCAAGTAAGTTTTTTCTTTGTCATACAAATTTCTGTGTCTTGAATATTTTTTTAGTATCACCAACACATTTAATAACGTTGGGTTTTCTTGACGAAAATGTTGTCAATTCACATTATGAAATTAATTATCTTTTACGTTTAGCATTACAAAAAGTTGCTTTTCTATCGTTTGCTTATGTTATGGATAAATATCGATTTTTACTTTTTCGTGACGAAATCAATCATGAAAATGATGAATTGAATTCAATATGGTGGACAATGCGAATGAAACATGGTGGTATTATGCCGCCTGTACCTCGAAACGATAAAGAAAATTTTGATGCCGGTGCCAAATATCATATACCATCGAATGTTCCCTATCTAAGATATTTTATTGCTCATANTGGAACATTCGTTATTTACATTTTACAGCTTTTTGTATATCTTTAGTTTTCGTCTTTTTTCAAATATACCTAAAACTATTTTTGAGCCTAGTCATCTATGGTTTTGTAGAGAATTTTAAGCGCTATCTTTTGATAATAATGAGAGCTTTACTTACAGTGATAATAGACAGGAAATCTTAAAAATACTGGGAGGCTCATTATTCCTGGGACACCCGATACAATAAAGAGGATGCAAATATTTCTTGCAATTCTTTTTTCACACCCACACTCACACCCTTACGAAAAGACACCGTAATACAGCAATATAAAATATAGAATCTAGTCACTAATCGAATATTCATTCATTATTTTATATGATTCGTCAATTCAAATAGGATGTGGGTGGAAGTTTTTGTCTTTGTTCACTCTTCATCCTCTAATATCCATTTACAACCGTAGCTTTTCTTGTAGAGTAAAAGTACTTGAACTCGAAAATTGCTTATACAATGATGTTGAAGTGATTTTACAAATGAACTATATAGTCCAGTTGTGCCCACTTGACTGTTGTCTTTCATTGCTTCTGAAAGGTTCATGATGAACTTTTAGATCTTTTGAAGCATTGTTTTAATTTCATAGTTTGCATACTAAATCAACAAATGCAGTCGATTCAAAGTAATTGTGTAGAATATATTTTACAGTATCTTTGCATCGTATAGACAAGTTAGAAAGTATGTCTCTATGTTCAAAAAAAAATACTATACGGCTGTGAGTACGCTTTGGTTTTTTTGAAAAGATATAGTCAACGTCGAGATCCTTTCTAATTCACATTCTTCTTGTGATTATAATTCTTTGATATTTGTTCAAACATGTCATTTAATAATAGTTATTGACGCCTTTTGTTGGCGTTTAGCAATATTCATAGTTAATACGATTGTAAAAGATTTAGATGCGCGAATGTCTTCACATTAATTGTTGTATATAGTTATATGTAATTCAAATGCTTTTTATTTGTATTATGAATTACATCTCTATGTAGATATTATATTAAGATTCAACTAATGGAAATCTAGCAATCGAAAAAACAACCGTTTTGCTTGATCGGTGATCTTTCGACTTTATACCCTGATCTTCCCATGCACATTTTACATTTGTACACACTATCCCTATTCCACACCAAATTTACTTTTGCATCAAAATCTATAGTCGTTCACATTGAAGTCTACAGCCACATTCTAATTGATAAGAACATTGAACAAAAAACAATGGATTTCTAAAAAGCAGTTGAAATCAAACTTGAGTTTATTTTCAACGAGTATATGAGACATAATTACGAATTCGAAGTCTTATGTTGATCCAACAATATCTACTGTTAGGAACATTCATGAACACCGGAGTCGAACCATAAATAGCATTTACACACCAGTGACATGTAGGAATCAAAGAAAGGCAACTTTAACAGTCTTGCTCAGCAGCACATATTGATTCTACAAATACAAAGACCTGCACAGAGTATCTAATTACTTAGTTACTAAATATTGTAATAGTTCCAATTATAGTACTGTAACAATTCAGTATTTTCAATAAACATGATAGATTGAAAGGGAAACGTAAATTTCTCTTTTTCGTTGTTCTTACAAAGTTTGTGAATTAGTTTGGTATGTATTCATTTCTATTTCTCACTTCTGCAAGAGAAATCATTGTTTACTAATTTAGAAAAATCGGAACAATGAAACAAGGAATAGAAACCTAAGTAAAGATTTCTGGATCTAAACCATAAAAATAATGACGAGTATCACTGCTCTCCAATAGTGAATAGAAAGAATATCTTATATGAATTTATAGAGAAATGCACACTTTTCAGTTCAATGTCTGAAAATCAAAATATTGGACAGGATGAAGTGACTTGAACTACTTCATAGAACCTAAATATTATGAGATGAAAATTCCATAACTCACTCAAACTTAATTGTATTTCAAGGACATGCGAATTCTATCATTTACAGCATTATAACCTTTTCAAGTCTACTGTCAATGTATGCAAGAGCATATTGGTTTGAGTTTCTTACTTTCTAGAAAATCTTCATTCATGAGAAAAACCTAAAGCAAATAGAACACAAGTCCGTTTTATTCGCTGATAAAACTTCTTGAAGATAGGCTTTCTTCGTTCTATCTTGGTTATTCATATTGATTCTGCAGGAATATGAGTGAGAAGATTATTTCATCTTTGATGCAGTCAAAAGTCTGTCACAAGAAAGAACAAGAAATATATAATTTGTAGTTTTTGACGACACTCTTGTAAAAATACAGAAAATAAAAAAAATTACTCTTTTACAAGTCAAATAGCTCTTCAGCGTTCTACATCATCATTCTATATTCTACTTGTTAACTACACCACATGAACAAGTTTCTAATTGAAAAAAGGACAGAATTAACGAAAAGGTAAATATTTGTTTTTACGCATTCACTTTCAATTGTGGACATTATGCGTATCAGTAAAGTAAAATTTTACAAGTATTCTTTTTTGAAATTTTTCATTGACATGCATATGGCAAGAAGGTTATTCAGAGTTTAGTTTTGTCTCAAATATTTTAAAATTATTCAGTATAATTCGAGCAAACTGTCTGCTTTGGTAATGTTCTCGTTTCGATAACATGAAGCTTGTTAATAAAGAGTTGACGTACTCATATTGTATCCAATGATTATCTTACTTTATGGGGACAGACGTACAGAAAAATAAAGCAGTTTACAGACCTTCTGATTGAAAAAACCGAGGATCAGCTTTTAGAATGACACTAGTTTTCCAGATGCTTATCTTCAATGACAAGAATATCTTACAACGAGCAAGAAAGATTTTCGGGTGTTCTTCATGTAAGTTTGTTATCAATGAACGAGCAAAAAAATATTGTCTAAAGTTTACTTTTTTCTCGAATGTTTTCCTAATCATTCAGTATACTTCGACAGAAAAGTCTTTTATTTGTTGAGTTTATTAGGGAAATAGCATGGCACTGTCTGATAAAGAGTTAACATACTTACAATCATAGCTATTGATCCTATCACTATGTGTATTTCCACCACTTTTCATACTTGTTTTCGGCCAACAGTTTTTCGACGACGTTGAATACGTAAAGGCATGGAAATTCGGTATTTCTTGACATTTTGTATAGCAAGCAGCATCATCAGATACATATTCCACCAGTCTTTATGTAGGACACTTGAGCAATTGAAATCTAGATAATATGAAATTGGAAAAAGGTATCCAGAGTAAAGCTTAATTTTGCTTAAAATAGATATTTCTTCTTATCGAAGTTTTGTTTTCAGGTGAAAATAAATGTTAGCACTTGAGTTCGTATAACAATAGAACTTATTGTTATAACAACATTGAATCAGATTCAAGCGTACATATATGATTACAATATTATTGGAAATTGTCAACTGTAGAAGTAAATGTGCGATATTGATCTCTTCATCAAAAAAAAATGAACAGATCTAGAACTACAACTCCCTCAGGATTTATAGACCGAGTATATTATTATTACGGCTTATTGGATTCATTCCAACTGGTTACATTTCAGAAAAGTTTGTTAGTACAATCACTTTCGAGATTAAAAATAGGAAACACGATAGGATTGTTGTTTCCAGTTCAATGGACATTATATTGTTCCATTTTTTACAATAAATTTATTGCGAACTGTTTATCTGATGATTTAGAACAACTGTTTCTAGTGCGTTTCTATCATAGGGGACATATAAAATACATAAATATATAGATATAGTAGATATACCATATATACTAGATATAAGAGTTATCGACGATATTAGAGATATTGAGATACTGGAGGTATAGAAGCGACGAGGCGATATAGCAGCTATAAGGATATGTACGAGGAACAGAAACAATAGAAGGGATTTCCCTTAGTAAAATATGAAAACAGATGTACTATATCTGGTATTTGCTGAGATACTAAAATTGCCCTTCGAGGTATCTGCTAATACAGCGACAATCTAAACAAATGAGATTCACAATAAATTTCGAACTGCGGAATCCATTTTCCGTCCCATCCTATGTTGCAGAATTCATGCTACATTTCTTTTCACGTTTAGAAATTCTAATATTTTTACATGGCATTCGCAACTGGTGCCCTGATGAGTGCTATAGGGATCCTTTTGTGTTAAGCACCTTAAAAGTCTGCTGCTCGTGGCACCCTCAGCTTGTGCGCTGATGTGTGTTCTAGTTGTAGTGCTTTTCGAATGTGAGTGTAAAGGACGAAGGAGATTTCCTTCATGTTGCCCAAAATGAATCTCATGCTGAAATACTCAATACACATGAGTTCTTATTTAACGCTGTGAGCGTAAACATCACCGCTTAAGTTCACATCTCCACAGGGAACTTCTGAAAGGTATCTCAGTTAATTTTCATAACGAAAATAACTATTAGTTTCTTTTAGCATATACCTATTATTTTCTTGTTTTCATTCTCGTTTATTTGTCTTTTGCAGACTTTTATTATCATCTGCCATGTGCGTCTCGTATTTTCGAGTACTTTTCGTTATTTTATCATCTTTTTTGTTTTGTTCTGACTAAATAGAAACGTCAATAATATAATCATAATTGCATTTATGTTTAGAAGAGTCTCTGGATACATAGATCAGACATGAGCTGTGCATTTCATCTTCCATGGGAATCTTATATATTGTTCATCTCTCTATTTTTAACATGATTCGGAAAGGTTTCAATGTATGCAATAAGTTTGTCTCTTTTATCTCTGTCTTTTATATCCATAATATCTCCTATATCTAGATATTCTCCATGTTCTCTAAGTGACTGTCTTTTTGATTTTCCTTGAAAATCCATAGAAGACATCATGTATGTAGAAGAGTAAATTACACCTACATCCACTCCCACAGTGTTGCTGCTTGTTGTGATATTTTATTTAACTTTTTTAATAAACAATAATTTGATATAAGACATAAAGAAAAATATTACAGTCATGATCGTAAGGGCGAGAAAATATTTCCACATATCCCAATTTGACTGGTGATCAATGGATCGTTGTTGCAAGATTTCACTACCGTTTAAAGGACAAATGTGTGTACTATTGACCATGCAGAATGTCAGATTTCGAAATTCATTGACGATTAAAACATTATATGCATAACGAAATGCGCTCACCCATTTGATCCATCGAAGAACCTTGAATACACTTCCTAATTCGACAAGAAAACCATTGAAAACCATCATGATAACAAAGATGAGAACTAGTACGATTAAAGCCACCGCTAAATATATATTAAAATAAGAATAACTACCTCAAAAAATAAAAACAACTTTCTAATAAAAATATAAATTAGTTGCTAAGATTTGGAGTTTTTTTTTCTTTTGCCTAATAAACTGGATAGATATGGTAGATGTGTACTCATAAACTATAACAATTCTATGTCTAACGTTAAAAATAAACTGTTTTCATTACACATTAGTTTCATTTCACGGCTTTAACATCAATGAACGATAGCATCGAAAAAAAAACGAATAGATTTATAAATGATCATTTAAAATAGTTCTATAGAGCAAAATTCAGATATGTACTTTAGTTTAAATGTCAAATACTAAAAAAATGAAAGACAAGTCCTACCAAAAACGGACATGCTTGCAGCAATGAAGAAACATGTAGCTGAACCAAATATGTTAGCCATGAAGATAGTCAAAAGAAAGATAAAGAACTTGTCAACATTTTTTTGTAATCCCATCATGAGATAACAAATGACACTGAATATCACTGATGGCACAACTCGCATTGGTACAACATCGCACAATAATTTTGCAAAGAATAATGTTGGCATATTGTAGTAACCACTGACATGTTCCTAAATGAAAACGATGGATATGTTTTGTTTTCCTGTTGATCAATCTCATGTGTCTACTAACTGATACTTACATGAATAAAGAGTGCACGTTCCTTGATAAATGGTTCTAGTGCTGTGGCAGTACTAAAAATTTGATTCACTATAACAAAGAAAAGACCTCCAAGACGATTTTGTACTCCTGAACCTATTGTTTGTGGCAGTTGATAATAGAGTAGACCCGTAAGTACTGCAAGAATAATAGCGACTGCATTTTGCCATGCCAATAGTGCTGAATTTCGTATTGCATTACGTAGAGTACGTTGAGAAACATAGAAAAGATCTGATGCGATATTTCGGAGTGGTTGTTCTTCTTGGACTCTTGCATTACTCGAATCATGTGAAATGTCTTTTAAGCGATTTATCATCAAATTATGCATTGAGGAATTAAGATATGCTTCGTATAGATTTGTTATGCGATCATTACGAGCTTCTTGAATAAGTAAATCGAGCGCAAAATCTGCTGGATTATTAGATTCTCGGCATGGAAATCCATGATCAATAAAATAAGTATGCAGACTATTTGATGGTCCGAGATAGACTATACGTCCATTAGAAAGTAGCAAGACAGTATCAAATAGTTCGAAGATTGATTGCCGCGGTTGATGAATCGAAAAAACAATGGTACCTATATTGAGAACAAAGATTTTTCATTATCGCCTATAGACTTGTTTATTTGTTATTCACTACTCACATCCATTTCTTGAAAGGTTTTTCAAGCATTTCATCACATCACATGCTGTTGAGGCATCAAGACCTGAACACATATTTCATTAAATTCTTTTTGAGATGTATTTATTTTCTTTCACTTACCTGTGGTTGGCTCATCAAGAAACAAAATTTTTGGAGACAAGACCAATTCCATAGCGATGCAAGTACGCTTTCGTTCCCCGCCAGATACACCACGTTTCAATTCTGTACCTATTCGGGTATTTGCACATGAACGTAGACTCAATTGTTCAATGACTTCCTCAACACGTGCTAACCGTTGTTTATGGGTCATTGTGTAAGGTAGGCGAAGATTAGCAGAGAAGAAAATATTTTCGTGTACAGTGAGTGTTCCACTAAGAATGTCATCTTGAACAACATAGCCCACCATTTTACGAAACACAGACTGAGCAGGGCGATGCTGGCCATTCAGTAATACTTCACCGGTACAGTTGCGTCGATCTTTTCGATCAGCAAGAATATCAAGCAAAGTGGATTTACCACCACCTGTCGGACCTAAATGAGTCTTCGATCGTAGTTTCAAATCACAACATAAAAGTCAGTTGTAAATAATTACCTAAGATGGCGTTCATCCCTTGTGTGAAAATTCCAGAAATGTTAAATAGAATTTGTTTTCTTTCAATACGTTGCTGCAAAAGGACTCGAGAGCAAATATTTTTCTTCACTTCTATACTGTAATTGAGTTGACGAAATGAGAGAGTTGTTCCGTTGATATCTTCAGTCATGCTGCTTAGAATTGTTTCATCGACCTGATCCGGAAAATTGAGATGTTCTGTAGATATACCCATAATAGGGTTATAGATAAATTGACTCCTCCTGAAGAAATCAATGTACCATTGTGATCCTGATGCAAACAACAATCCTTACTTTATCTTATTGAAAAATGATCCAATCATGGCTTTATTATGCGACGTTCACTTGAGAGCAATACTAAAATGAATGATAGCGGTTGTCAATGAAGATATTTCGTCTATATCTACGTCTTAGGGTGTGAATGTGGATCTGAATATACTTATAGCTTAAAGAAGAAGAAAAAAGAAAGCAAGGTTCTAAAAACATGTACTCCAACTTCCTATTGGATGATAAATTGAGTATGATGAGGTATCAACTAGCTCTTTTTCTTGTTACCTGATCATTCATATTCACATTCTAGAATATAGTAACGAAACTGAAAAGGCTTATTATTATAGTTGCTTTAAGGGTACACTATGAAATAGACATTCTCTAGATAATCTATTGTACTTGATTATATTAAACACCAAGTGTTGGAGTCTGTCGTATGAAAAGAGAGAATTACCAGGAAAGTAAATTGTTTATTTCAGTCTAAAAGTTATAAAATGGAAGAATGTACTCTGAAATTCATCTATTCACTATATTTTCTTCCAACTTGTAAGGCTGACTCATTTAATGCAACATTTGCTGAGTCACTTGCTTCGTCATTGTTTCTTTTTTATGTATGAGTGTGTGTTTTGACATAATTTATTTCAAGATGTGTGTAGGTGTGTGAGTTGACGTTTTCTTTTAATTGAAATCAGCACTACATCAATACTCGTCAATACAATAGTACTTTCTATGATATGTATCAAAATTGAGTCAGTGAACATTCAGTTTGAGACCAATTGTTTTAAAAATAATTTTTTTTTCTTATATCCTGTATGAAGAGTGGTTAGTCGGAGAGAATATCCACGAATTTAATGAGACTGATAGATTAGACAAATTATCCTTATCTTTCTCTCTGTTAACCTTTGTAGAGTCATAACATAAGGAAAGAAGCAAACATGTAAACAGGTAAATGGAAAGCTTATTGATTACAAGAAATAAAACAGTCGAAAGTGAAAGAAGTGTTTTTTTTTCTTATGCAAATATTAGAATTAATAGCTTCAGTGTCGACGATATTCTTATCCCTAATAAAACAATACAATTGATCGCTCTTGTCTCTCTGGCTACAATAAAATGGCATCGAATTTTTTCTATTGGTGTTTGTCTTTTTATTCACATATATATTTGGTAGCGACGAATGCGTGATGCAATTCTCGTGTGTTGATCTAATGATTGATGTGAATAAATCACCTCATCATTTCTAAACAAAACTTATCAATGCACTTGTTTGAGTCATTTTGAAAATGAGCCCTTTAAAAAACTAACTACACAGAAAAAATTCGATGCCGTTTTATTGTAGCCATAGAGACAAGAGCGATCAATTGTATTGTTTTATTAGG